AATGAAGTGTCTTCCTTTATTGGTTGCGAAATATACTCCTCCTACTTGACCATGACAATCATCTTTCTCAGTGTAAATATTGAAATAAGTTATTCTCTCATCAGGTGCAAAGTAAAATGTTTCACTAGGCACACCAGCTAAACTGCCACAAGAAGCTGTGCTTCCATCTGTCAGTTCTATGCCCATTCTCAAGAAACGATTGGCATGCAGCCAGAACTGTATGCTTCGTACAAGGCGCCCATGAGTTTCTCCATTTACATTGATACTTCTATAACCTCCTCCACCTCCTCCAACCATGACATCAGAGCTGTATTGCTTTGTATTGACATCTGAAAGATGGCGTGCACATCTTTCTTGCATTGACACCTTCATTGGCCTTTTCTTAACATTTCCTTTATCTGTGTTCCATTGATTATTGTTGTCTGTTGCATCCAATTCATCCTCCAATTGCTCAGTTGATTTAGCTCTGAATTTATTTTTGTTAATAAGATCTTTTTGCTCCAAGTCTTCTTTATTTTTGTAATTGTTTTCATTGAGTGTATTAAGGCCTTCATTTTCTGTTGGAACATTGGAGTCATAAGGAAGAGACTCTTCATTCCATTTCTCCTCTTCTATGTCATCAAAAGGTGCTGCTTCTTGTTGTTGCAGCAACTGTAGGTAGAGAATAATGACCAAGAAAAGTTTCATTGTCATAATTTTTTCAACTTTGAGAGCTAAGTTGGCAACCCCTTTATATAGTAACTGCTCATTCTTAGTGCTTGTTGTTGTGATCTGTTGATCGCCATTATTTTAGTACCACATGTTGTTGGCTTTCTTCAAGTGCATGCAGCTGGTGCTATTGTCTCTCAAGTAAATTAATGCTTACTATTGATAGCTTTCCGATATGCCTTAGTGTTGATACAGTGAGTTTTATCCATCTGGCCCATAGTGTCTTTAGCTGTGCTTTGACACATGTTGCTGTATGCTTCACTTAATTAAATAATCTGAATTATATTCAATGCAGTTATTCTAACTACTGCATGGTGCTTATTTGTAACAGATCATGCACTATTATAATTATGTATTCCACTTATTCTATTGTTACTGAGGTATTATGCAGTGACATAGTTATTTGCAGGCAGTATGCATTCATAATGATAGGATTTTAGGAAAGATGAATGGAATAAGGAAGGAAGTAAAGTGCTATATTTTCCCTTTTTTCTCTCCCCCTGGATCAGCCACTGTAATGAACTTGTTTCTTATTGTGCTGCTTGCAGTTTATGAAAAACATATTCTTTATCAAAATTATATTGATAACTACAAATTGCATGCAACGAAACTATGTGTGTATGTTAGCAGCAAAACTACATGTATTAGGCAATGATGTATAAACTTGTATTGTCTTATATTACGTCTTTTGTTGATACCACTACATTGCTAGTGGTTTTACTCCTGTATACTCCAGTTACATGATAGTTGAATGTCCTTCCTGTTATCAGTGTCACTGTCAGTCTCCCTGTATAAGGTGTTTCAATGACTCCTTGATAAGCAGTTGCAGTAGCAATCACTTCTTTACCTGGTGGAACTTTAATATTGAAAGCATAGTTCTGTGTGCTATTTATATTCAATTCCCTGTCATGATAGTATGGACTACTCATAACTAGGTTTGATGTTAAACTATTTCCTGTTGGCAAAGTAATAGAAGCGATGCTTGATTCAACACGAGTGTTAGTCAATCGAGTTTCAAGTCTTGTTGAACTGGGAGACCATTGATGAATCTCATTTACTGATCTGCTTCCTGACAGTGTGAACTCTTGTTCTACTTTCCTTCCTTTGTTGTCGCATTTCATTTCATTGATGTGAAACGGTTTCTCAAGAATAGACAAACTATTAATGTGTGGATACTGTACATGAGTTAATGTACTCCTTTCCACATTTTGCATGAATAGAAATGTTATTGCATCCATCATACGCCCACAACGAGCTCTAAATCCAACTAATATTCCCGAACCAAGTGGTTGTGGGTGATAGTAATAATTACTGTTTCCTCCTCCTCGAAAATTAAAATACCTGTGCTTATTGGTTGAGAAGTATATTCCTGATATATAACCACTGCAGTCCTTTTTATCAGTGTAGATTGTCAAACCAGTTATTTTTTCATCAGGTTTAAAGATAAAAGTTTTGCGAGATGAAGACTTTTCACTTCCACAGGAAACCTTGGTTCCATCTGAAAGTTTTGTTTCCATACTTATGTGATGTCCATATCTTTCAAGCCAGAATGTTAGACTCTGTACAATACGTCCTTGATTTTCTCCATTCTTATTGATAGTGTAATCGTTCCCTCCACTTCCTCCTACCCTAATATTATAGCTGTATTGTTCTGTACTGACGTCTGAAAAATATTGCTTACAATTGGCTCCACTTTGCGCTAATACATCATTCAATGGTTTGCTTGTCTTTGTATTGTATATCTCTGTTATTGTGACTTTAGGTTCTTCTTGTACGTCTGCCCCTTGATCCTTTTCATCTCTTATATCAGCAAAAGATATCTCATCCCTCAGTTGGTTATTCTCAGCATTAGCTGTATTCACTTCATTGATTTTCTTATCATGTCCTGCAGGCAGTGCCTGTTCAAGTACTGCATCAAGAGATACATCATCTGAAATTGTCTCTTTCTTAAGCTCCTCTCCTTCATTTTTAAATACAGGAATATCTATTTTTGTGGTATCAGTTGTAGCTGCATTGAGTATATCCTCATCTGAGAGCTCTTTCCATTCATTTTTGGTATCTTCAGTAGGTCCTGGTGGGAGGTCAACAGTATCCTTTAGCTCATTACTGTACTGAGGAGTGAGTTCTTCTTCTGCTTGAAGGTCTACAGTATCATAAATGAGAGGCTCTTCTGTCCACTCAGTCTCCTCACTGAGTGATGCTCCTTCTTTTTGCTGTAGCAGTTGAAGGCAGACAATAATTGTCAAGAAAATTTTCATTTCTTGCTTGTTTTTTTCTGAAGCGTACAGTTGAGAGTTGTTCTTTTATATAGTTAATGTGTTTAGCTAGAGTTATCAGCATATGCAGCATATGCTCACCATCAGACTGTTCTTATAATAATATCCCCATCACGAGTTCATGTTGATATTACCATTGACCTTGCTATCATTAGTCCATCTGTAGGTATTGCTCCAGCTGCCTAATACCATATGTTGCTATTATAGATCTATCTCTCCCAAATAATTTTGTGCTTTTGTTGCTTTCTTATTTACTAATTAATTATTTTCATTTATTTCTTGGTAGACAATGCGGACATAACTGGCTGTGGTTCTCCTCAATTACTGGCTGACCCTCCAGCACTGACAGCCTCTGAACAAGAACCCACACTAGCTTACCAGCTCTCCTCCTTGCCTCAGGAGGACGAAGAGTCTCATAAAGGTACTGACACGACTGATGAGAATGATCAGACTCTTCCATTTGATTCACCAGTACCTGAGGACAGACCAATTACTAATGGCGTCACAATGGATGCTAATGATGATAAAGCTGACGATAAAGTGGAAGCTGGTGGTGATATAGTGAATGCTAGTGATGAAGGCGAGGATGATCTTGATACAACAGTCATAATCGCTGAAGACACAACTGATACCGAACCGTATAATTTAGAGGAGGAGCAAGAGAAAGAAGGAGGAGGGGGAAAAGAAGACAAAACTAAAGCATCGGTCGATCCTAGTTTAAATACAAAAAGTGGTCCCATTGCTTCTCTTTTTAATGAAGACGATGACGAAGCTCCTCCTTTGTACGAGCCAACGATTGCTTATAATTTAGAGGAAGATGAAAAGAGAGAGCTCTCCTCTGTACACTCTGAGGAGACAGGAACTAGAGAGAAGAGTGAGGAAGAAGAGAAAGATAAAGAAGATGAAGAGGAGAAGAAAGAGAGAGAGGAGGAAGAGGGGAAGAAAGAGGAAGTGAAGGAGAAAGAGAAGACGGAAGAGGAAGAAGGTGCTACAACAAGAGGGAGAAAGGGTAAAAGAGGAAGAGGTGGTCCTCCTGCTAGTACAAGCAGAGGAGGGAGAAAGAGAAAGAGTCCGAAGGATGAGTCACCTGAGAGTGAAGACAAAGAGAAAGTGAAGGGAGCAGGATCTTCACTGATAGATGATAATGCAGTCAAGGATGAGATTACTAAACAAACTGAGGCATCTTGTGGTGATATATCTACCAATACTGGGAGCAGCTCAACTACTAAAGGAAACACAAAGAAGAGAAGAAAGACTCCATCACCTTCTCCTTCCCTACCTGATGATGATAGATTAGTTACTACTAGTAGAAGAACAAGATCACGAAGAGATCCACCAAAAAGTGATAAATATTCTTTTGATGAATTGTATTCTGTACCAGAAGAGCCCATTGCATCAGAGGAGCTTCCTGTCATACCAACTGTATCTTCCACTGATGACAGTCATGACACTGTTGTAAAGAAAGGAAAAGGAAAGAGAGGGCAACCTAAAAGGAGCAAGAAAACAGAACAAAACCCCCTATCACTAGAATCAGAGGAACCTCTCGTAGCAATACCAGAGGAACCTCCCACAGCTACATCAGAGGAACCACCCACGACTACATTAGGGGAACCTCCCACGGCTACATCAGAGGAACCTCCCACGGTTACATCAGAGGAACCTCCTCCTGCTTCAGTGTCATCCATTGCTTCTTCAGAGGATCCTGTTAAACCTAAATCAACACGCTCAAAGAGGCAACCACGAGCTACAAAGAAGAGCAAGAAAATGGCAACAGAGGAACAATTATCAGACCAGGAATCTCTTGATAAAGAGCCTCTACCCGATAAATCAGGAGAACATCCCATGTCAGCTAGTGAAGACCCTCCTCCTTCACATGAGGAACCTCCTTCAAGCAAATCAAAGCGTCCAAGAAGACAACCAGCAGCTTCAAAGAAAAAGAAAGTGACCGAATCTTTATCAGAAATTGAATCTGAAGATCCACTGGCAACTGATGATGATATTGATACTAAGAAAAGTAAGCAAACTATGTTAACACTAAGATTATTATTATTGTTGTTGTTGTTCTTGTTGTTGTTTATTGCAGCTCTGCCTAAATCTAAGAAATTGAAAGGGTCAGTACTTGAATTGGAGAAATTGAAGCCATCTTCAAACGGGAAAAAGAAAGAGACAGCTTCCCTTGATGAATGTCCTCCCATACCTTCTCTATCTCACACTGCAAGAGTAAGCTTAAGTAAATAATGATTCTCTATAATCATCATCTTCTCTCTCCTGCTAGTCTACATCAACTCGATCTACTCCTAGAAGAACACTCAAAAAAGGTTCTCAGTCATAATAATAATAATAATAATAATAATAATAATAATAATAATAATAATAATAATAATAATAGCAACTTAATAGTAAATACAATTTTAAAAAAGTGTACTAATAAGATTTTAAAAATATTAGTAATAATAATAATACTAATTTCTCAATTGTATATATTCTCATTCACCTCAATAGGTGCTACTGACTTACCATTGCCCCCATCAGTACTCTTTACTGGTGTAATGGACGAGGAGGCCGTGGGTATTGTGACAGAGCTGGGAGGGTCTCTCGTAGACTCTGCAGCTGATTGTACTCACTGTGTCACCGATAAGGTCCGACGTACAGTGAAGTTCCTCTGCTGTTTAGCCAAAGGCTGCCACATTGTTAGTACCAAGTGGTTGAAGGATTGTCACAGAGAAGGGAGATTCATACCGGTTGATCCGTATATTATTAAAGACTCTGCAACGGAGAAGCAGTACAAGTTTTCACTGAAGAACTCAATTGCTGCTGCTAGGAAAAACTCGTTACTGAGTGGGTGGAGAGTTTTTCTGACTGAGAACATAAAACCTTCTCCGTCTGATATGACCTTTATTATTAATTGTGCTGGAGGTGAAGTAAGTAGACAATAATCTAAGAACTAAGTATTAAATCTTTAAATCTTAAAACGAAATTCTAAAATATAACTTTTTTGTAGCTAATTTTTAAGTATAAGATTTTCTCTCTCTCTCTCTCTTAGGTGATTAAGAAGTGTCCAACTGAATCTGAAGATGACACATTTATCATATCTTGTGATATGGATAAGAAGTCCCTATCGTCAGTATCATCTCTTGGTATTCCTGTATGTACCAGTGAAGTCATTTTGACAGGAGTACTGCAACAGAAACTGGAGCTGGACAAGTAATGTATTATTGTATTATGATATTATGTTATTGCCTGAAAATGCATTTTTATGCTTAAATTCAAGTAATAAATGCATGTCTACCAATGCAATTTTTGAACTGTTTTGATTTTAATGCAAGTACTCCATTTCTATTACAATGGCTTTATGCATGTATCATTACTGTAAATGCTCCATTATTGCTATTTTACTTGTTCATACAGATATCAGTTGAATACAGGATCTTTGTCATCTGTCAGTGGATCGGCTACTCCTAAAAAAGCCTCAAAAAGAAGGAGACAGTAATTTAAGCTTGGCTGTTAACAGTAACCTTGTAAATAAACTAACATGTTTTTGACTATTTTCTCCACAGCTTACATGTACATGCATCTATGTAATCAATGTATTTAAGTCTACCTTTTGAAATAATTAATTTCAATGAAGTTTACTTTAACCCTTTGTGCCTTTATTAAAAATGGAGGCAACTGGAGAAGTAGCATCACAGTTAGAGGTAAAGCTTTCTGTCCTTATTGAACACTTGAGGACAAGTGATGGAGACTCATTCGACATACAGTCACTCAATAAGCAAATAAGAAACCTCATGGAACAACTTAGAGCTAAGATAAAGGTGATCATTCACAGTATTTAGGCTGGAAATTTAGAAGCCATTGTCTATTGTTTGATTTAAATATTGCTTTAAACAAAATGGCTATGAAGGAATGGCAAGTATGGTTAACTATGGCAAAGGATTATTACTACCAATTTTAAAAGAAAACAACACTGCATGCATGAAAAAAAATGGTATTTGAAAGGTTTTTAATAATTGTAATGACTTCAATGTTATGTTCTTTTTTGCAGAATCTTGAGTCACAGCAAAGAGAGGCAAGAGTAAGTAATGAGAGAGAAGAGTTGAAGGGACTGGCAGATTGGCATAATTCACAATTGATAGAGTAAGACCTCATACAGACCTCACTGATGACTAGGAGTACATTTTCTGATATATCTATACATGTTCTCATGTTGTGCAAAAATTAAAGTTGCTCCAAAATTTAATAAATTACCCTGTACTGTAGCACATGGTATTTTTTCAAAAATGACTAGGAGAGAATTTTCCATTTTTATAATTGTTCCTGATGCATATACATGTACTTATGTTGTGTAGCAAGTTTGAGCTGATTCCGATCAAAATTGGATTTTTTACAAATTTTTTTAGTTACTCAAAAATTGGGCCAAAGTCCCTGTACTATAGTACAGGGTCATTGGCCAAATTTCATCAAAAATGACTAGGTGAGAATTCTTTAATTTTATAATGTTTTCTGATGCATATACATGTACTTATGTTGTGTAGCAAGTTTGAGCTGATTCCGATCAAAATTGGATTTTTTATGAATTTTTTTAAGTTACTCAAAAAAACAGGGACTTTGGCCAAATTTTGCCAAAAATTTCTAGGAGAAAATTCTGTATTATCTTATGTAGAAAGTTTGATGTAAGCTGTTCTTCTTTCATTTGGCCAAAGACCATGGCCTAAATGGTTCTTATTATTTTTTAATTAATTAATTAATTAATTTTAGTTTGCAGACTAAATTAAAACGTGCAAACTTATCAGTGAAGGCCAAACTAGTGAAGAAAGACAGAGAGAGTCTTCTTGGCCTATCAACTGACGAAGAGACAAGCCAAACGAGACAGAGGTAAGAGGAGAAAAAATAATTATGAGGAAAAGAAGTGAGATTAAAACAGAGGTATTTATAATAATGCAATTCCTTGTACTTGGTACATGTCAGTATTCATGCATCAATGTAGACATTACTTTTGCATACAACATTCATTGTTAGTATATTTAATGTGAGAGTGAGAGAGAGTGAGAAAGAGAGAGGGGGTTAGTCAATGCATGAAGCATACAGCACTTGGTTAGGAAGAGACAAGATGGCTCATTGCAAGCTGCTAGCAATGTTACTGATAGCCTCAAGGAGCTGAGACAGACTCTAGCATCAAGTGTAAGTAGGAGTGAAGACACTATGAGAACTTTAGGTAATTCACTAATACCGTATAGCGAAAAAATTTTGTGGATCTGTTCAAAAATCAATTTTGTGGCTTTAATTCCTGTAGTTTTTTTTTTACTTTTTGGCCATCTTGAACTGTATTGAATCGTGGATTTTATTTTCGTAAATTAAAAAAATGCAAAATCTACAAAAAAATTTCCGCTATACAATAGCTCTTTGCTAATAATAGTCTTAAAGTAATTATAATTATATACTACTATTAATGATATTTCAATCTTTTTCTTTCCTCCATCCAGTTGATTCCTCTAGTGTATTGAAAGACACAAGCTCTGAGATGGAAGCTATGGGTTCTCATATTGATATCTCCCATCGCCTCATTACTAAATTTGGAAGACGTGATGTCGTAGATAAAATATTGATATTCTTTGGACTGGTACTGTTCTTCTCTGTTGTAGTCTACATACTTAAGAAAAGGATTTTTGGATAGCATTCTTGTAAATAATGATTATTTTTATTCACTCTCGCGCTATTTTAATTTCGATTAATTAGCGCGCTGGGTTAGTTAATAATTATTAATGTTATACCACGTGATCTCGTTGCTAAGCGACTGATAAACTGTAGCTGTGGAGTATCTTCTCGAGTTCTTTTCTCTTCTATTATGAGTCAGCGACAGGTCCTACAGGGTTAGTTACCGGCCTTTCTTGCTACTAGTCTCTATTTCTTTGTAGTTTTTGAAAGATACCAAAAGTCCAGGACAGAATTCGTCCAAACAGTGGCTGAGCTGGCTTCCAGGCCACAGAATATTGAAACACTACAAAATGCTGGTCAGTAGACCTAAATAGAGGCTATTACTACTAGCTAAATACAGTACACTTTCTAGACTTTCTTGTAATCAACCACACCCATGAGTATTTTCAATATTTATGCTTGGCAATTCATTATATTAATGTCATTTTTAGCATATACATGTGTATATATATATGCTTATTTTTAAAGAGCACGTTGACGTGTGTTCACCTCCTAGCATCACTTTAATTATTATTATTTTATTTATTTAAAAGATTCCTTATTTTATTATTATTTAATTGCATTGTGGTAATGAAGATGACGTATGTCTAATTGTATAGTACAGACAAGCCCTTTAAAACCATGTCCCACACGATGAGTCATTTATCAAAATGAGTATTTTAGTCTTTTGAATCTGTGATTTGTAGCCACATACAAATCTACTTAATTAATGTGGTCAGATTATTAGATTTTAGGGTTATATTGTTGTATCTGACTGTCTGTCTATCACCCAGGTCTAATTATCATTAAGTGATGATTGAAATAATGATAATATAAATTTAACTGTGTCTATTTGTAACTGAGCAATCAGATTACTTGATTTTGAACTCATAAATTAAATATCTTGCCACGATTAATTTTACCTAGAAGGTTAATTAATAAATTAGTGGAAAGTTAATAAGTAAATTGCCAGAAAGTTAACTAATCCCAGGAGGTTAATGCCAGGTTAATACAAACTTGTAAGTGACCCAGGGATTTTACTAATTCACCTCCTGTTTAAAAAATACCTGGGCTCTTGCTAAAATAAATGCAGCTTATTATACTGGGTACATAATGGCCTTCAGTATGATAAATAATTGTAATAGATACCACCATCTCATTGTATAAGGTATACTAATAATTTTACATGTTCTCTCTCCTCTCTTTCTTCCATTCTTTTATTGTCATAGGAGTGATGCAGCTACTTCGTCCATTATTGCTAGATACTGTTTCATCAGTACAGCAGACTGCTGCCCTTGCCTTGGGCCGTCTAGCCAACTACAATGATGATTTAGCTGAGGCTGTTGTAAAAGGAGACATATTACCACAGCTGGTCTATTCACTCGCTGAACAAAATGTAACAAATTTACTTATCAGAATTATGATCGAGCATTGTTCAGTACAAACATATTAAGCATGTGATAATCTAATTTTTCTTCGTTTTCTCTTGTTCTCTCTCTCCCTCTCTCTCTCTCTCTCTCTCTCTTTCTCTCTCTCTCTCTCTCTCTCTCTCTCTTTCTCTCTTTCTCTCTCTCTCTCTCTCTCTCTCTTTCTCTCTCTCTCTCTCTCCATATTTTCCCATTTTTTTCTCTCTCTCTCAGAGATTCTATAAGAAAGCTGCTTCATTTGTGCTACGTGCTGTAGCAAAGCATTCACCAGAGTTGGCACAGGTTGATTGCGCATTGTAGCGTATTATTGGACTTTTATTATAATAATAGTACCTGTACATGTATGGTGCCTGTATTGGTATAACATTGCTGGCTTGCCTATTATGCATTTATTGAATTTTAATTAGATATTAATTAGGATATTACACATGCCATTAATCATTATAGTTCCTCTACTTTGTCCTCTTTCCTGCTTTTCTCTCTCTTCCTCTCCTTGACTCACTTCCTCTTCCTCTCTCTCTCTCTCCTAATGACAGCAAGTAGTAGATTGTGGTGCTCTTGATGCACTGGTCATATGTCTTGAAGAGTTTGACCCTGGAGTGAAGGAGTCAGCAGCCTGGGCTCTAGGATACATCGCCCGCCATAATGCAGGTAAAGAGAAGGGAAAGCAACTTTAGATACAATTATCCATTATATGCATGTACATGATATGAGGGCCACTTTAACATAAAAATTAACCAAATTTTAGGTGAAAATTGTCACTCATTTTGAGATAAAAACTACTAAATTTTTAGGCGAAAATGTCACTCGTTTTGAAATAAAATTACTAAAATTTAGATGAGGATTTTGAGGTGAATGTTAACTTATAATATCAGAGTCCAAAAAGTATCTCAGAGCTTTTCTGAGTTGCATCATTTTTTATTGCTGATATGCCCATTCAAAATTAAGTGTATTAGTCATCTATAATTGGAAAATGCAGTAGATGTACAATGTACATGTACATGTACTTGTATATACATTATAATACATAGTATAGGCATTATTAATGTATGATGCATGTATATTGCCTGTATTAATCAGTCCAGTTTATAATGAAGCACCACGCAAGACCACAACAAGCATGTGCGACAAGAACATGTACATGTACATGTACAAAACACATGACAGGCAGTGGGGAGAACTCTGGGACTGGAAATGTTTCGTGGTTTTGTAAACATGTTTGGTTGTACCAATTGAGATAAGTCCAAGTGTGGGGGTCAATGAAGTGAGTGGGCGGAGTCACTAGTGAGTGGGCGGTTAAAGAGGAAGTGACATATAGTACATGTGTATTTGCCTGATATTTTTTAATAAGGATTCTATGGGTAGTAGCAAAGGTCAATGATATCATAATTACATGGTGAGAGAAACCTGATCTTTTTTCCATAAGTTACTATCAGTCCTTATTATAAATAATAATTCCCACATTTTGATACAAACGTGTGAATAGTATTGTTTTACATATACATGTACATGTATCTCGTGTACATGTACATGTAGTTATAGTTGTAATTGATTGATTATGGGGTTCAACTGGCTTCCCAGTAGCCATTCATAGTATACGGTCTATTCCCTTTCTCAGCCGTAATTACATCATGTACATTTTTCACGAGACGCTGGGTCATCATTTGTATCATGTAATAGTACATGTACTCATAGTCACTTTGATATCAGTTTAATTATACGTGTAGATGTACAATGTACATGTAGATGTACATGTATATGTACATTTATGCATTCACATGTTCATGTAGTTATAGTTACAGCATGTAAAGTTGATGGATGCATTATCCACATAATGTTAAATGATTGCGTTGAATTTCTCAATTTTATTAATATACCGTATTTTCTTAAATAGAAGCCCGGGCGTCTATTTCTTTCCAGCTCCTGCTAGCCCAGCGTTTATTTAAGAGAGGCGTTTATTTGAGACAGGCGTTAATTAATTTCAGTTTAATTATTCATTTCAGTTAACCTATCCTTTTGAGAACACCATTCTCTTATTCTTCTTGGGTCCACGTTACACTGTCTAGCAGCAGATTCTTTACTGTGCCTTTTAGCTATTTCAACAGCTTTCAGTTTGAAAGAAAGCCTGTAGTTCTTGCCGCTTCTCTTTCTCAGACATTGCGTGCACAAAAATCTTAGTCTTCTTAGAAACACGTGGGTGTGGGTGTGGCTTCCGTGGCGTTTAATTAAGACAGGCGTTTATTTGCTATTTTCTGTGCAGCACCTGGCTTCAATTTAAAGGCCTTTTCACACTGGCACAATTTTCAAAGCGCTTTGATGCGCTTTGTTGGCACAGCTGAAATAATGCACATTGATCGTGTTCACACTAGCAGCTGAATTATGTATCATTTTGTGTTCTTTAATTGTTGCCATTGGTTTACATTGATCGAAGCGCATCACTTCACATCAATCCACCTCTGGAGGTGAAGTGAGAGTGATGCACATTAATTCAAAACCACTATAGTGTGAACACGATTAATGGGCATTAATGCGCATTACCTTGGCCAGTGTGAAAAGGCCTTAAGACAGGCTTCAATTCAAACCCGGCTTTCATTTAAGAATATACGGTACATACATGTACATTAATATTTGTAATTTCTACTAAGTTCAAGGTTTAAATTAAGCCATGATTGTCCCACATGTACTGCACATGCAGACATCATGCGGTTACAATGTTGTTGATATTTTCATACATGTACATTTATGGACTACTAATTAATGGGTACGATATACTCAAGTGTTGTAAATTTATAATGTAATAGCAGCGGCCATGACTTACTGTCTCTATCTTGTGACTATCACTGAGTTCCAATTGAGTTTTAAATTTTATTATTTATTTACGTATTTTTTACATGTGACTATAATTTGGGCTAGCATGTACATGTACATGAATCTTTTATCAACTTCTTTAATTATTTTAGAGTTGTCACAGGCAGTCGTTGATGCTGGAGCAGTTCCTTTGCTTGTGCTTTGTATTCAAGAGCCAGAGATATCACTCAAGAGGATAACAGCATCAGCTCTTAGCGATATTAGCAAACATAGCCCTGAGGTGAGGGAGGAGAGGAAGAGAACGGGAGGAAGAGGGAGGGAGGGAGGGAGAGGAGAAAGGGGGAGGAGGGAGGGAGGGAGGGAGAGGAGGGAGGGAGGGAGAGGGGGGAGGGAGAGAGAAGGGAGGGAGATGGAGGGAGAGGGGGAAGAGAAAATAGAGAAAGAGACAAAAAGAGAGGAGAGCTAGGGTAAGAGGTCAGAAGGTCAGAGAAAGGGTGAGGAAGAGAGAGAGGTCATAGAGTGATAAGATAGGATGCGTGTACATGCACAGTACATTGTGTAATAGTGTACTGTTGTGGATTCATTCCTATAGTTGGCACAGACTGTGGTGGATGCTGGGTCTATTGTTCATCTTGCTAGACTCATTGAAAACTCTGATGCTAGACTAAAGGTAAAATTAATTTTAAAAAGCATATACATGTACATGTACTGTACAATATTAATTGTTATAAAGCTCTTTATAAAAATCTGTATAAAAAATGACGTTAAAGATTGATAATTATATAGAAAATTTAGGTGCCTAATTCTTATGAAGAATTAACTGACCCCTAGATCTTTTTTTACATGTACATGTATGTATGGTGTACATGTACATGTAGCTGTTTTTTAAGTTATGATGTTTGCTGTATTGTTTTTATAGCGTCAAGTTTTTTCTGCTCTGAGTCAAATATCAAAGCATTCAGTGGAATTGGCTGAGATGGTTGTCGAGGCTGAAATATTTCCTGTTGTACTTAATTCATTAACAGGTTGGTCAATGGTTATTCGAAGTGAATTAAGAATTCATTAAAATCTGCCAAATATTACATGTTTATGTACATTGTAAATCATTGCAAAAATAACACCTACATTGTACTAAGATTGTTATTATTATTATTATTATTATTGTTATTATTATTATTATTATTATTATTATTATTATTATTATTATTATTATTATTATTATTATTATTATTATTATTATTATTGTCATTTTTATTTTTCATTATTATCAGACTCTGATGAATATGTAAAGAAGAATGTTGCTACTCTGATTCGTGAGATTGCTAAACACACCCCTGAAGTGAGCTAGGCCGCCAATTACATGTACATGTACATGTACGCGTAACTTGGACATGTGTTTAACATGTGCATTATCAGTAATTACACATGTACATACATGTACATGTAGGCAGTAATTGTTTTAATTCAGAAAAAATAGCCTTGTTATTCACATATTGGTACATGTACATGTATACATGTACATGTACACGTATACACGTACATGTACATGTACATGTATACAACGTAGATGTACTTTTAGATTTCAATCTCTGTTTTTAGTTGTCTCAGTTGATAGTTAATTCAGGAGGTGTGGCTGCAGTCGTTGATTACATTGGTGAAGCTAAAGGCAATGTCCGTCTCCCTGGAATAATGATGCTAGGATACGTCGCAGCGCATTCTGAGAACCTGGCTATGGCAGTCATCGTATCTAAGGTACATATACATGTACATGTATTGTACATGTACGTGTACATGTATGTATAGTACTGTATGTACTATTAGTATTACAGTGTGTGTGTGAGAATGTGTGTAAATAAATCATTGAAAATTAATGGTAAATTTGTAAATAAGATAATTGGTGTGAATACATGCGGAACATGATGTTTTGGCTATGTCTCGGTTGGTCAGTGTTGTTTTTTGATTGATTGATTGTACTTCATTGTCATCCGGACTACATGTATACATGTAGGTATTGGTATTAAATCATCGTGCTCACATTACAGCAACAAAAATGGAACATTTTTATACGCTATAGTAACATTACCCTGAACACTGATACTTTATTTTTATACATTCACCTAGTTTCTAGTGAGATTAAAAACCTTTATTATTATTATTATTATTATTATTATTATTATTATTATTATAAAACAAATGATGGCAGAAAGACACAAAAAACAAAAAAAAAAGAAAACCAAAAACCAAAAATAACAACAACAAAAGACTTATTTTTATTAATTTTGTTGATAAGCTATTGCACAATCTCATAAAAAATTCATAATGGTGTTTTTAGGTACCATAGTCATGGTCTTCAGTTTTGCTTTGCCTTTTCATGGAGAATTTCTCTGAGTCACTTTTGATGAAATATACCGTTACATGTACATGTATGTACCAGTACATACAGTACGGCATGGCCTTTCGCCCAATTTTTGAGTGACTTTAAAAATTTGTAAAAAAATCAGATTTTTATTGGAATCAGCTCAAACTTTCTACATAGCATAAGAACATGTATGTGTATTATAAATAGTTATAAAAATTGAAAATTATCTCCTTGTAATTTTTGATGAAATTTGACCGATCACCCTGTACTATAGTACAGTGTCTTTGGCCCAATTTTGGAGCAACTTTAAAAATTTGTAGAAAATCCAATTTTGATTGGAATCAGCTCAAACTTTCTACACAACATAAGAACATGTATATGTATCAAAAAACATTATAAAAATGGAGAGTTCTCTCCTTTTCATTTTTAATGAAATTTGGTCAATCACCCTGTTGGCCCAATTTTGGAGCAACTTTGAAAATTTAATTTTGATTGGAAACTTTCAACTATAAAAATTGCATATAACATGTAAATATTACATGTACATTCCTGGGTTATAATTTGATTTCTTACAATTTCACACCCTGACGTATACATGTACATGTGTGCGATGAACATACTCTCAGTCTCTTACACTTCTTTTCCTCATAGGGTGTAGTCCAACTATCCATCATACTATCAGACGAGCCAGAGGATCACATACTAGCAGCCACGGCCTGGGCACTGGGACAGATTGGTAGGCACAGTCCTGAGCACGCCAAAGCAATAGCACTAGCTAATGCACTCCCTCGTCTACTCAAGCTATACCTTGACATATCCAGCTCTGAAGATCTCCAATCAAAGGTACATGTACATGTTTATTGCACATGTACATGTAGTATGTACATGTACATGTGCATGTACGATGTACATGTAGTAGTATTGAGAGGTATTGTATAATGGCCAGTGTATTTTCACTACCTTTTTCCTAATTAACTTTTAACTTACACACTTTGAGGAATCTCCCATACTACAGAATGTAGGCTTCTGTTTTCTTAATCTACACGTACATGTACATGTATGTATACCCTTGGCTTTTACTTTTAATTAACACAGAATTTGAAAATAGTATGGTCTGGGTTTCCTACAAAGCTTGCTAAGGGAGCTGGAAACATGCTTCATGAGCTGACAAGAGCTACAATATTTCCATGTGTACCTTTTTCATAGTAGTACAGTCATTGTGAATGCAGTGTCTAGATCTTCTATTCTGTGGAAATGAAGAGTTTTGCTTTATATTATGTTTACTGTATGCTGTTTCTCAGAGAGAAAGAGAGAGGCCTCTGTTATTTGTTATTATTATAGTACAGTGCATCTACATGTACATGTACATGTATGTGTATTCATTGGAGGATTGGTGTACAGTACATTAGAGGACATTAGTGCTGATGAAGATTTAGGCAGCTTTACTGTACATATACATCCATGTATGTACATATAGCTTTAAAATTGTTACAAAAACCATCAGTTCAGTACCACAATGTATATGCATGTACATGTACACATGTATGTGCATCAAAATTGCAATCACAGAAGCAGCTACACAATATTACAATAATTGTGACCCAATCTTTCTCACTCACTTAGTACATGCACAGACTTAGAGGTCATATGTCTCTTACAATTATATGATTATTAAATTAATTATTTTGCATTACATTATGCATGCCCACTCATTACTAACACATTCTCTCTTTCATTACATCACCCTCTAAAAGGACAATCCCAATTTATCATTGTATATAGCTAGGAATGCAACCCACTATGTCTTCATGGAGGAATAGAGTACCTTTTATGGTCAACACAACCCTCTGCATTGTGTCCGGATTAGTCGCTTTCCTGTTAGCATTTGAATGAGTTCAAGAAGGAAGTGATATCCTTCCAAATTGCAAATTAACTATAATTACCGTACAAGTTGGTCAGGTATCGAGTATCCAGTATGAATTGGGTTCATTAGGTAACTATGATGTAATTAGATTGCATTACGTGTTAAATGATGCATCGGGTGAATCATTTCTCTTTTGTAGGCACATGTACTCATGTAAACTTGTCTATTTGTCACCCTTTCTCTCTCTCCCTATCTCTCTACTTTTACTGTATCATAGTGTGTCTCTATTTTTAATTTTCTTTTATTTTTTAAAATTCTTTATCTCTCTCCCCCTTTTCTCTCCATCAGCCCACTTTTCACACACATTCCCTCTATTGTTATGTTAACTGTAGTCTCTCTTCCATTATCTTTATGCTATCACGATCTAAGATAGAGAGCCACCTAAAGTACATGTACATGTACATGTACATGCATAGATGTACATGTACATGTATTTGCACACGTAAAATGACACCACCAACCACTGCAAGGCAGTGCACATGCACATGTAACGTGATACCATTAGTTAAGTACAGCTTATGTGCATGTACAATGAATGCTGCATCTACATTATGGCAAAAACATGTACATGTATAATACAGTATCTATTACTCATATCTATAATGCATGTACATGTACATGTAACCCCAATGTACATGTACATGTACATGTACTGTATTTGGCGACTAGTCTGTACAGGTGTAATTTTGTTTTAGTAATAAAGATTTGGTTCGTTTTCTAATACTCAAGTGGTTTGATAATGCCACTGGTACATTTAAATGTGGTGTCTTGTTTATTCTTCAGTTTCACAAGACTTGATAATCATTGCATGTTTAGCTCAAAGTAATTATTTACATAGTTATCTTATTTTCAGTCAGTCGTTGATAGTGAATGTAAATAAAAGATAAGAACATACATGTACATGTATTAAATTATGCGTACATATACATGTACATGTATGTACATATGTACTGTATTTGTTCCTCACTCTCTCTCTGTTCCTTAATTACTTGTCCCTTTAACCTTCCTGTTTCTCTCTCTCTCTCTCTCTCTCTCTCTCTCTCTCTCTCTCTCTCTCTCTCTCTCAGTCTAAAAAAGCTCTTAAGAGTATTCTACGTCGCTGTACTCACCTCCCAGCACTGGAGCCACTCCTTCACGAAGCACCTCCTAACATTCTTAAACATGTAGCTGGTCAGTTTTCAAAGGTATGAGCACTATGTACATGTACATGTACATGTATATTGTATGTGTGTGTGTGTGTGTGTGTGTGTGTGTGTGTGTGTGTGTGTGCATGTCTACATGATTTCCATTGCTAACACAATTAGGATCATCAATGATGTAACCACACTCATTAATAGTTATTTCATGTACATCTAATTACTGATGCACTTGACATGCCTTCATGCCTGAGGGAGTAATATTTTATCAGAAATATTTATAATTGGTCAAAGCCCTTAATCTTAATTGAGTTAATGTATGCTGGACATGTAGCCCATCTGTTTTATAGTTTAATATACATGTACATGTACTTCTACACACATTGATTGATTGTAGTCAAGAAATGATTATAAGAAATAATTCTTCAGTGCAGCAAACATTAATACATTTTACGATCAAAAGTACATGTACTGTACATGTACATGTCATACGGAACTGAGATATTAGTTTGCTACAATAGTATTATGTTTCAAGTTTTCCATCTCTGCTCATACATGTGTACATGTACCTTTGACGTAACATTATTGTGTACTATAAATCCATGTTTCCAAGTACATGTACATGTACTTTTACATGTACGTGTACATCTGCTATGCATGCAGTTTAATATTATTATTATTATTATACTGATGTAGACACATTTAATTAATACTATAAGAAAGAATGTAGAATCTCTCTCTCTCTTTATATCAGATATTACCACACGATCCAAAGGCAAGGAGACTTTTTGTCACCACTGGAAGTCTTAAAAAGGTAAGACCAACATGAAAGAGAGGGAGAGGCAGAGGTAACCAACCTCCTTTCACCCAATCCTAACCAATAATGCTCTCAGGTGTCTCACATACTGCAGTATATGTACATGCTAGTCTCCCATACAAAATACACATGTACCTCAATACTGTAATACATGTACATGTAATGTAATGTACATGTACATGTAATGTACATGTACATGTAATGGTTAACATTGCATGTACATGTACATGTAATGTGGATCTTAATTGTAGCCCTCTTTCTTTTCATCTTCCTTATATGGTAGTATTGATTGGTTGGACAGAATCCAGTCTCCTCCATTATTATTTTATTAGCTAATGTTGTGGTTGTTTATAGTCTAGGGCTCCTTAAGCTTTGATACACCATCCCTCACTTTGATGGCTCTGATCCAATGGCCTCGTGTTATGACAGTTGATATTGACTTCCATGTACAATACATGTGCATAGCATGTACCTAACACATGTCTTCCATAATAACCAATTTTATTTTATAAGAGTTCAATATATGTACATGTATGTATTATGTACATGTACAAGGAAGGAAGGTACATGTACACGCGTAATATGTAATATGTCGCAAGTTGGGCTTGATTTATAATGCATGTACGGTGTACATGTAACATGTACATGTACACAGATTATTTTTAGATATTGGTACATGTACATGATTTAATGTACATGTACGTATGTCTATCAAAACAGCATCCATTAATGATAACTGGATTGGTATTTGTTATTATAGCCATAAAGACTGTGTGACATATACATTATATCATAAAAGTACACTATGATATAGTATAGTAGTAATTGCTCTTTACAACTCTTTTCTTTACTCCTAATTCTCTATCAGAAAGTGAAATATTGACCTTTCCTGTTAGGTGAAGTCCTTATATCTATGGGATGTTGAACCCTGAGATGTTGTGCTGTTTTGTGTGTGGTACATCTTAGCTGTTCAATAATTATTATGTGTGTGTGTCTATTCCTCTTTGTATATACATGCACTGTACTATTAACCTTATCCTTCTATTGTGCTTAGAGCGTATGAATGAGTGTTGTTATTATTGTCATATATTATTGCCCTCTCTCTCTCTCTCTTGTTGTTTATTTTGGTAGCGTTTGCTTTTCCTCCTTCATTATCCTCCCCGGTTATCTTTTATAAATACCATTAACGACACAATGTCTAACTTTACAAGTATACACCCAGTATTATACTCATCTTGTATTTATTTTAATATTATTATTATTATTATTATTATTATTATTATTATTATTATTATCAGAACTGTTAAGTAATAAGCCGATTGCAACGTTTAAAGCAATATACATGCACATGTACTTTAAGCTAATATTCTGTATGATGGCATCATCATTAATCTCGTTTCCAAATCCCTATCAGTTTATTGTTCATGACTATACCATTAGCTATCATTTATAGCAGATACTTCCTTCCATTAAACTTACCCTAAGCCCTATACTTCAGTTGGAAGGTATTTGTTATCACCTTTATTGCCTATAGATAACTGCATTCTTACATCTGTACATTTATGTGTAAGTCATACCAGACATACTGTACATGTATTAATGATCCACTATCATTAAATGTAGAAATTTAGATAATTTGGTTAGTTCATCTGTTGCATGCCAAACAATGCAGACTCATTCATTCCATAGTTCCATTTCCTACATGTATAGTGTATGGTATCACATGAGTATGTACATTGTACACTGAAGCAGTACTGGATGTTAATGATGTGGGTGTCGTCATAATTGATTTCAGTTCTGATTTTATTAATAAATTATGTTAATACTATGATTTGTATTGATTCTGTTTTCGGTTGAGCACTGACTCTGTTATAACATGCTTTATTCAATAAAGATGTCCTGAACATGCTTATTTTTGTGAATATTGATTTACGTGTACATCTAATTGTCAATCATTTATTTATTTATTTATTTATTTATTTGTTTATAGATACAGGAGATTAATGCTGAAGCAGGTTCTGTGTTACAAGAATACATCAATGACATTAACAAGTGTTATCCTGAAGAGATTGTGAGGTAGGGAAAAGAGAGGGGGAGGGAGAGAGAGAGAGAGAAGGAAAGGAGATTTTAAAATCAGAGAGAGAGAGAGAATGAGGGAGTGTTTTCTAGGTAAGGGAGTCCATGTACATTGTAATTAAATTGGTCTGTTACTTTAAAGTATTTTATCAGTTGATTATCCATCAGCTCATATACCAGCACATTCATTCCAATGGACTAAATCACAATCAACCAACTAGTTATATCACCAGAAACCATCACTACACCCACACTACCTAACCTAATTTTAATTTGAAATATTTGAAAACTGATATTATTATTATCATTATACTGCATGTACTCTTTTGCTTCATTCCTTTTCTTTGGTTTCTGATTACCCTCAACCTTGGGGCTTCTCTTCCTCTGGTCAGGGACCATGTCATTGGGTTAGGGTTTTCCCTTCCTCATGTACAAAAGTACATGTACCACTGAGCTAGGCATGTATTGAGGCATTATTTTGACCACAGAGTCCTAACTAGTGTCCTATAATTATTAAACCATCCTTATTATTAATTAACTACATGTACATATTTTTATTCATTATAATTTTATGCTGCATTAAGTACAGTACATGTACATGTACATGTACTTGGTGCATGATTTATAAACTTATAAATGTGGGTATGAATATCTTTATATGAATGTGCTACATTAATGTACATGTACATGTACATGTGCATGTACATGTACATGTATATGTACATTTATGGATTATACACTTTGAAATTTTCACTTGATTTTGTATTGCCTCTCACTACCCCACAGTGTCACATCCTATTAAAAGTTCATCTTTTGATGTGTCAAAGATTGCTTGTAATAATTTGGTTTCTGTATTACTCATTTCTGCTGGTTGTTTCAATCCATTAACCTGCCCTTCCTTTAATCTTTCTTTATTGTTAGACAGGCTGGCTCCTCTTCTTGTATTGTGCCTTTGGGAATGTATTAATATTCAATTGATTTTTATGCTCATGTGGTCAAGTTAATAAAAAATAGGGCCAAAGTCCCTGTACTATTATAGTACAGGGTTACTGGCCAAATTTTGCCAAAATTGACTAGGAGAAAATTCTTCATTTTTATTATTGTTTCTGATACATATACATGTTCTTATGTTGTGTAGTAAGTTTGAGCTGATTTTGATCAAAACTGAATTTTTTAAAGTTACTCCAAAATTAGGCCAAAGTCCCTGTACTATAGTACAAGGTCATTGGCCAAATTTCACCAAAAATGACTAGGTGAGAATTCTTTAATTTTGTAATGTTTTCTGATGCATATACATGTTCTTATGTTGTGTAGCAAGTTTGAGCTGATTCCGATCAAAATTGGATTTTTTTTACAAATTTTTAAAGTTACTCAAAAGTCATCTACATGTACATTGTATATGTACATGTATATGGGCTGTATTATAGTGTTTTTCAGGCTGTATCATGTCATAATTAGTATCAATGGTGAATCTTTTTGCTGATGAAAATCATCCTTAATGGTGCTTACCAAAATGGGGACCCTATTTTACACATAATACATGTACATGTACATACATACATGTACATGTACATGTACATGTACATGTACATGTACATGTACATGTACATGTACATGTAATGCACCTTCTATTTACATGTTTCCCTTTCTCTCTCTCTCTTTTTGTACAAAATGAGTTGTTTATCTTTTCGTTTTATTTTCATTTTGTGGAAAGACAAGCACATTAGTGGCCTAAAGGCATCCAATTTGTGGTAGTTGTATTATCCAATAATATCCTCCCAATCCTTTAAGGATGTGTCACTGAATCTGAAAAAAGCCCATTAGCTTGTCTCTAATAACAGCACGAGAGGAAAGAGAAGTAACTGCCCTTAGCTTCAAAGGCCAGCCTAACCCTAGCAATCCTACTATCAACAGTCCTCTTGATACTGTAAATTATTTTAAACCCTTTTCAATACCTCTACACAATCTACAATGATACAGTACAATGTAGAGTATTTATATGTCATATATACAGTACAATGTATTTATAATGTCATATGTACATGTACATGTACTTTCTTACTCTAAACAGGTCATCATTAGTGATCGTAGTAAACAGTTTTCCAAAGAAAGCCAAGTTGTATTCAAATCTCTTGCATTGCAGTACCTTCTATTTGTATTCCAGTTCCTTTTGCTGACGATACTTTGTAGTACCTTTTATTAGAAGCAGTAGAATGTCGTGTACTATTTGCACACACATGCATCCAGTAGTATCACTCACAGCTGACCACCGAATGAGAATTGTGATAATATTATTATTAATTTATTATACTTATAGCGTAGTAGTCCAAGGGATTGAGTACGATAAAATTAGGTGACTGAAACTGGCTACAAAAGCATCTTCAATGACATACAGTCTTATAGTAAAATATCCAGAAAGTTTGAGCTGATTTTAATCATATCCGCTTGCTTCTTATACACTGTATAAGCATTAGCTTTAGGTAGTGCATGTACATGTACATGTACTTATACATGTACATGTACAATGTGGCTGGTTGTGGTCATTAGTATTTATGATGTGTACTAATCTTGGCAAGTGAAGAAACCCTCTTTTGAAAATGTGCATGCGTTTGTGAGTAATTAAATGAAGAATATTAAAAACACATTTTTAGAGCTTACTTCGTAAGACTTTATACTGTAATACTATAATCATTCAATAGGGTACTATAAACTCTACTACTCTAGTACATGTACATGTATAGTAATCCTGCTTACATCAATACATGCAAAGCTATGATCCATGTACATACCCTGTACATGTACATGGACTATAGCCATGCAGACCCATTCAAACCACCATTGAAACCACTACTATTATCATCTCACGTTTAAATTAGGATCCCACTATAACACCCGATACCACAATGACCATTATCAATCCACACAGACTCATTCTCCCTGACCACATACAGCACTAGCAGTCCTTCAGGACACTACAAATGCTCACACATACTCACACACAAACACACACTCACTAAGGATAAGAGGTTTGTATTGATGCAACACTTAACTCTCAGCTGATAGTCAGTCTGGTGAGGTGGCATTGAATGGGTTCAATTGTCCAGCATTATACTCTCATGAATCCACTCAGTGTCTCTTATAGTAATTTGGTATTATTATTAATCATAGTAAATTCAAGTGTGCCGTAATCTGATTAGACTTTGGTTTTGATTGAAGCTATACTTGTTCCATCTCTTTATGTTATCGTGTAGTGATCTACCCACCATTCCCTTTAGCTACATATATTGTACTGTATCTCTCCCTCCCTCCCTCTCTCTCTCTTTCCTTCATCCATTCACACTCTCAGTTTCAGGAAGTATTGAGGAAAGAAGAGAGAAAGAGAGAGAGGGGGGGGGAGAGAGAGAGAGAAGTAGTTATTGTTTACTTTGTAATTACAAAACAAAATAAAATAAACATGATTCGAATAATATAATAATAACAATCAACTCAGACATAATTTATCTCCCACTCATCTCTCTCTCTCTCTCTCTCTCTCTCTCTCTCTCTCTCTCTCTCTCTCTCTCTCTCTCTCTCTCTCTCTCTCTCCAGATACTATTCTCCTGGTTACTCTGAGAAGCTCCTTGAAAGGATTGATGACTACAATCCAACATCAACCACCACATAGCACCTCTTCTCCACTCCTCCTCCTCCTCCTCCTCCCTCCTCTCTCTCACTCATAGCAAACTATAAAGTTTATTGTAAATTCTACTCTACACACATACACATGAACAGTTACACTGTATATCTGAATGACAAGTAACATAATTTTCTGTACTGTAGCTATTATTATTATTATTATTATTATTTAGTATTATTAAATACAATTGTTATGCTCGTGAGTATTATTGTGTAGTGTTACATAATGTATGATAGTACTCACTCACTCTCTCTTGTTGTCCTGCTTCTCTGATAAGCTCCTTCCAATTTTGGATGAGCTTGTTTTAATTTCACTTTGAGTCAACTACTCCCACAACCGGACACTGAAATTGGGAAAGGCCTATTTGTCCACACTGTTATCTCCTTAATCTCTCTCCCTCTAATGCTATAATACTATACAGCTCTTTTTCTTATTCTATTCTTTTCTCTTATCATTGAGATGCTTAATTAGTTGTTAGTTATGAGCTGCACGTACATGTACATATACGTGTATGTATTTGTCTCAATAATTAGCTTCTAAGAAGTAAGAGATTATATCATTTTTATAAAGAGCCATCCTGTAATGTCATCAGAACGGGATTTCTTGGATATTGTATAATTAATAATAATCCTAGTCTGATAATGTTAGTACTAGTATCAATACTGGATAGTAAACACATATTGTGATCACTACAGGCATGAATAGCCAATGATAATACACAGTACATTTCATTGGGTGCCAAGTATAACCACACATACGCTTAGTATAAAAAGATACAGGCAACATACGTATACATGTATAATGTGTACTTTTAGCATTATGTCTGTGTATCTTTAGGGTAGTAGTAATGTATCTGCTGATTCATGTACATGTATGTCATGTCTGTCTTAATTGTGATGTGTTCATCATTGGTGATGCAATTGATTGTCTGTGTATCTGATAGAGGGTATCGAGTTATCCCTTTATCATTTTGTGTGTATTATTGTGTCTCCTTGCCTTCACTCTGATGTAAGCAACCAATCCCCCAACTCATGAATATCTGTCAAAACCACTGTTATTGAAATAATGCGAAGATCATTGTTATTATTATTATTATTATTGGGCTTTGATTGTGTTCTCTTTTGAGAGATAAAGAAATTTTAGACGGAATCAATGTACCGTGCGTATATATACATGTACATGTACATGTACATGTAAGTATGCATGTACATGAATACATAGAGTGTAGGCTTGTCTTGTATGAGTGTCCCACTATTGTTATCCACAAGTACAAGTCTATAAGAATCAGCCGTCATGTACATGTACATGCACATATACGTATACATGCACATATAGATGTATAATACATATTACAGTATTATAGGTACTACACGTACATGTACATGTTTTTTTATGGTGTTTGCCGACGCGGTGTGTATTCAGAAGTGAATGATGTGAATATTCTCCTCTTCAAGGCTATTATAATTGAATTTGCTTAATACAATGAGAGTTATCTGTCTCATAGTGGTTCTAGTGTAGTAGAGAGTGAAGCTATGTGGCGGCAAGGGCTTCAATGCGGCTTTTAAGTTTTAATTATCATTTTAAATATTTTTTACTAAAAGCATACAACAAATAATAACAACAAAAACAACAACAATAATAATATCTTTTTAAAAGAATAAAAAAAAATTAAGGCAAACAAGGACTAATAGAGTAGCTAATAAGAAATAACTAATAACTATACATAAGTGATTCTGAACAAAGTAATGATTCTCCATGTACTGTACATGATTATAAAGGAGAGGGAGAGAGGATGAGAGAAGGAAGCACGATTGATACTATTTAACAAAAAATTACAAAAAAATATTGACCTGAATCATTGATTGTGAAAAGAGAAATAGTTTCAAAGGTGTAAAGTTCACACAGACAGCAGTAGTAATATTTACTAGTGAGAGAGAGGCCTCAATAAAACTGAGATCACTCAAGCTCCACTGACAGAGAGATATGCAAATAATAATAATATAAAGTGTATACTAGCTTCACATAGCTAGTGGTATGAGATACAAAAGTATAAGAACAGGAGCTATGGTGTTTACAAAAATAACAAGTTTTAGGAATGGTGGATTAATGTATATAAGGAATACAAATTGTAGAGAAAGAGGGGGGAGAGAATAAAGAGAAAGGGAATTTGTCTTGGATTGTGATAGGGTAGTATCAGTGTGTTTTTACCAGTTATGCATAAAAAGCCATATAGCTGCACCAGTGAGAATGAAAATGACTGTCCATCCATCACTTTTCAAAGAGCAGCCCTAGTGTGCTGGAGTAAAGGAGCTACATCAATTGCTGTGGTTGCATGGCAGGAGCAGCATTAGGTATCTGGTGAGGAGAGGGATTCATTATAGGAGAGGAGGAGTGGTGAGAAGAGAGGGGGGAGGCATGAGGATGAGAGGAAGGAGAAGGAGTCACACCGTATCCATAATAACTATAACAGTCAGCAGCTGCACTGATAGTGCCCTCGATAGGGACCTGTACTGTAGTGGGAGGAGAGTAATAAGGAGAGGGGGACGAGTGTGGGATCATACCCAACTCTGTCATTTTCGGTTCTTGAGTCTGGGCCTGCATGTACTCATACGAAGCGGTCGTTGATGGAGGTATGTTGTTGTAAGCGTAGGCAGCGTGCTGCGTTGGGGAGGAATTATACGGGTTCATGGGCTGGGCCTGGTACGAAGACGTCGTGCATATGGTCGATGAGGGGGCGGAGGAAGAGTTTGGGTCGTGATGGTAGGCCATCATACCTGAGGCATCGTGTAGCTTATCACTGTGCATTATGAGGGAGCCAGGAAGACACTGCATACCAGCACCTCCTAGTAGAGTCGGGCTGGAGGACTCGCTTGATTTCTTGCTAGAGCTCCCACTGCTGCTGGCTCCACTTGTACTACCGGACTTTGACTTCTTTGACTCGTTTTTGGATTTTCTGTTCCGAGTCTGAATGGTATCCTTGCAAAGAGACTTGGGCCTTGCTACCTAAAGATGGCAATAGGGAAGAAGAGAGAGGATATATTAATTAAAGGAAACAGGATATAATGACTCAATGGCACCATAATAAACAATAGTGGTGTTTACCCTACTTTAATTAACCTTCCTCTCTAACTCTCTTCACTCACCCTCACACCCTCTCTCTCTCTCTTCCTCCCATTTCTTATTGCGACAAAGGATACCACTATAACAACTCTGGATTGTTTTAAGCTCCTCCTTTACTACTTGGAGACTGCATTGTGGTACTATCCACACACATAGACACATGCACACAGTCTGAATACATTGCATTATGAGGCTAAGGATGATGCTTTAAGTACTCAATACTATATGACCATATATGGTGGTATACACCCCTTCTTGACAAAAGAAGGTGAATATCATTAAGGAAGACACAACTCCTCCTGCTCTTAAAGGCTTGCCTCAACCTTCTCACCCTCTCCCTCCCTTCTATTCCTCTCTCTCCCTTTCATCTTCTCTCCCCTTTTCTTTTAGCAACCACAAATGTATTTTTTTAAATTTTTTGGCAAAGCATTAAAGCTAATCAAGGCAAGATAATGAACTCAAAATAAGACAGCTTTTTTCTGATAGACTATATAAGAGATCTCTTGGTAGTTATTAGACAAGCAATTGAGAGCAAAACACACAAACAAGGCATAATCTATTACTTTCCATTTCATCTCTCTTATCTCTCTCCTTACCCCGTTGAGCTTGTAATAAAGGCCACAAGGATTGCAGACTGGGTCTCCATTCTCGAGTCTTCTCCACAAAACTGTCTTGGTAGTTCCACAATTTGAGCACTTATTGTTCATAGACTTGAGTGTAGCCTGCAAGAGAGAGAGAGAGAAAAACAGTGAATGGTTATGATAGTACATGTTCCTGAATCACCAACACAACAAGAGACAAATATTGTCCTTACTGATAACAATACACAGAGCAGGTGTTACCTCTCAGCCATGAAGAGGCATCCCCGCTCCTGTGCTGTAAACAACCCCATACAACCATCTAACACAGTAAATTTCAATGTACAGCAACCAAGCTACACTATAATTACTACTAAAGCATGCAACCCTCACTTTTTTCTTTTGGTGTCCTTGTCTGTTGGTACCGTTGACCCTGTAATAAAGTCCACAGGCGTTACAAAGGTAGTGACCTTCGGAGTTTCTCCTCCAGAGAGGAGTGTTGCTGGAGCCACAGTTATTGCATTGGCGAGCTATGCCAGCATTATAAGCATACACTATTATAAAAAGAGAGAGAGGGAGAGACGGCATGATAATAGCAATTGATTGATTGATGATTGAAACCGTACAAATATTCCACCATTAAAACAAAAAGGTCCTTTAAAGCTTCATATCAAAGCATTTGAGCATTATAAGCACTACTACAAGAGAAGGGGCAGCTGTTGGTGTACAAACAGACCATTGGAGAGAGAGTCCAACAACAGCTGCAAATAGGCCATACCCATTCCACTACAGTGTTAGGTTAGGCAGTAGCAACAAGAAGGCAGAAAGTCCACTCACATTTGATACACAACATACAAAGTTACACCTTCAATAGATCATATAGACACACACACACAGTACACTTACTCATCACCCGCCTCTCTTTCTCTATGCATACTAGGCCACACACTAAGCATGGACATTATACTACATAAGAGGCTCAGCCTCAATCAGGAGGCTATGACCATAGGGAGGGATCAGCCAGTGGTTAGGTTACTGCAGTATAAGCTAGCGTGCTTGTGTAGGCCTAGTCATGAGGGTGTCTACTTTGAGTGGAAGGGGAGGATTTACAAATGGAAGGCAGAGTACAAATTATGTTTTGCAAAGGCAGATAATGTAAAATGAAGGTGGTAGTAGCTTCTTGCACCGCATTGAGTATACAGTGGAGCTACTACTAATGATAAAGTGACAGGTGTTCTAAGGACATTATCATAGCAAACTCTAGAGAATGAGGACAAGAGAAAATACATTGACAATACTTAAGAAAGAGTTGTAAAGAGCTTTGCATGTGAGATCAGAACCATGATGCAATCCTATACATAGGAGTGTCTCTGAGTCTCACAAAATGTCTGCAGCTGTAGGCTTTCTATAGTAATCAGCTGTACAAATATCAACAACAAACAACACTCAATGAGGGGGGAAGAATCAATCACTTATTAAGTGGCAAAGTTGCTTAAGGTCATTGGAAGTCCAGCCTCCAATTGAGTGTATTCATGGAGTACTTGTGTAAATTAGTGGCCTGGGTGTCCACTCCCTGAGTACAAGGCAGTATGGTGGAATGAATGATTGCTGTAAGACCCAGTTAAGCACTAATGGGTAGCAGGGAATGATGTGTGTGGAGTGTGGAGAAGAGGCTAGTTTAGTAAGTAAAAGGAGGACTTGTGTAATCATAAGGGACAAACATTGCTTATGGGGCTCCGAATTAATCTGAAGTAAAAATATTATCACAATTTTTTAAACCATAATTTGTGCATTCTGCTGAAAAGCAGCCCATGATGCCATGCATACACTAAATAATACACACACACACGAATGGAAATGAAGTCTGACTTACTATCTCCATATTGTCCATTGGCAGTAGCAGACTGAGGGAGTTGGAAAAAGAATCGCTGCTGCAAAGACAGAGGAGAGGGACTAGCAGACTCTGAGCCGGACCAGGCCTGCACGTGAGAGTGAGTTGCAAGGCAATGATGATTAGCATCTCCTACTGAAGGAAGATCCTGTGGTGTGGTCGTTATGCTCTGCTGCCATGGTAGCTGGTAATAATAGGAGGAGGAGGAGGAGGGGGAAGGTTTGAGACCTCCAGGAGGACCTGTGGAAGGAGAAACGGCAATGGAGCTCGAGTCCATGTCAGAGCTTGATATTGGGATCAGGTCTGGTGGTGTGGGAAGAGAAAAGCTGCTCTTCTCCGTGCTGCAGGTGGAGACGGGCGGGAGTACCTCAGCATTAGACGGTAGTGGGAGAGGAGGGTAGCCGATATGGCTGAGAGTTGGTGCCTGCTCGCACTGAGCTTGCTGTTGGATGCTCTCGGCCAGATCCACTGGTGGAGTAGGAGGATAGCGAAAGGTTGCCTGCGCTACCTGTAGCTGAGTGAATGTAGCTGTCCTGCAGTACTGTAGCTGCCCAGGGAACTGTGATCTTGAACGAAACTGTGGCCCAGCTACTGCACTAGTTGCCTCGATGAAGTTTCCCATCTGATGATGGGTAGGAGGGCCGGGAGGGAGTTGTGATGGGTAGCATATGGTGGGTAGCTGGACGGATTGCTTCTCAGAGTTGCTGCTCACACTACTAGGTGTACTACTAGCTACTCCTCCTGGACTAGGCCGCGTATTGGAAGAACTACTGAAGATATTGAATCTACCTGCGTTGGAAGATGGTTGCATAGCGTCGTCTGCTTTCTCCATTTAGTTAGTCTGAGTCAATGCTCTTTCTCACTTATTCTCTCTCTCTTATAGACTCTCAGTCTGCCTCTATCCTTGTAGATACCTTTAAGATGGCTTCAAGACCAAGGCACCTAGCGCCTCATTTATACAGCACGAGGCACGTGTCGATAGACACGCCCAGAGCAATAATGAATTTTTGATTCAGTTTATTCATTTCCAGTTGTTTGCAGCAGGCAATTAATTACTACAACATCCTTCGCAAACTTTTCCTTCCCGTTTCCCTCGGGTCCTTAGCAAGCCGTCTCTGCTTGCTGCTTTATCTCAGTCAGCCAGGATCACTGTCTACAAGCTGCGGCAGAAGCGCATAACCGCTAGTGGTCTTCTGTTTTGAAGCAACAAGCCCGAAGGCCTCGTTATACCGTTAAGTTAAGTGCTTTTGGAGAGGTCGGTGGTAAAGAGGGCGTTGCCCCACAAGTGCAAGATGAAGAGTCACTGGGTAAACTGTCTGCACCATACAAACACCTCAAGTGCTAATACCCCTCAAGTGCTCATTATATGGGGCATATCTCAACCAGTTCCTATTGTCTTGCATGAGCCCTCTCTGTATAATCAACCATTATTTTACTATAAGTCTAAAGCCCCTTTCTACCTTTCTCTACAGATTATATTGCTCCTTTCATTAGCTATTGCAACAGTACAGTCTAACGACCAGCCCAATCCTTGCGATTATAAAACATGTTTCGGTAACGAAGTCTGTCATGTCGTTGAGAACAGACTTTTGGAGTTTCCAGTAGCAGTGTGTGTACTTCCAGACGACAAGGCAGAGAATGTTAACGGAGGTAAAAAAAGAGGAATAGAGTCCTAAGCACTATTAATGAGTTGTTTTAGGCACAGATTGTAAAATAGTAACTAGTGGTACTAATATACTGAACTGCAAAACAGAGGAAGAATGGGTCGCAGGTGGAGAAGGAGCATGTGCTGATGTTTCTATGAGTCTCCGATCAACAGAGGTTAGTTTGGCATCATGATAGCCATTAGGCTGCGTGCCTCTTTACATGTGGTGGCAAACTTAATTCTGATTAATAAAGAGCTGCTTTTACAGCGTTTTCTTTCATGTGTTACAAGTTGGCCTATGCGCATCTGTATATGCAAACCACTCTCGATGTAACATTGTGTAATATGACAAACCTCTAACTTAGTTATACACTTTCTTTAGGTAAAACATGTCTGTCATGATTCATCGCTTAGGCGGTATCTGCAAGCTGATTACGTCTGCTGTCCTAGGACCCAAGAAGGTGGAGAGAGGGGAGAGGGTGATGACAAGAAGCATCCAACACGTAAGTTCTTGTGTGTGTGTGTGCGAGTGAGAGTGTGTGTACAAGGTATATGTGTGCATATGTATGATGTGTTTCAAATCTAACATCTGTAGCAACTCCTCCAGTTTTGACAAGTACTCCACCTGGGGCACCCACACCACCATCTCAAGGACAGAAAGAGTCTGACAAAGCCCATACAGGTCAACCCACCAGTAGCAGCAGTGGCAGCAGTACTTCTGCATCTTCCACTCCTACTGTAAGTTACTGTGGAAATGGTCTCCATGGAATTGCAATTGGAATGAGTATATGACGAATCCTTATCGTTCATTGCAGGAAACCAGCGTATCTCTAAGTGGGGAAGATGCTGCAGGTGCTTCATCGTACATTGTGCCTATCGTAATTGTGTTAGCCTTTGCATTCCTTGTTCTAATAGTATCATATTTAATCTACAAGTGAGTCAAATTTAAATTGTTAAATCAATTAGGTCAATGGCTTTATAGTAAATAAGGTTATATATGAATTTTGTGTGCAATGTGTACAAAGCTGGGCAGCCCTAGTTGGGTTGTAGTAAGCCAGACTCTGCTAGGTTTCCTTGAGTGCCGTTTCAAACGATTAATACTATTCTTCACCAGCTGTGTTTCCATTTTTGGAACTGGAATGAAACAATAGTGCCAAATGAGTGCTGGCATCTTTCCTTTCATCTTTGTGCTTCTTTCTTTCTTTCTCTCTCTCTCTCTCACACATTACAGGAAAAAGAAGAAAAATGGCAAGGGATCTGCTGCAAAGAAGCCTATAGATGCCACTGTATTAGTTAACCCTATCTATGATGGGGCAGCAGATTATCCTGACCTTTCAAACTACACTGAAGATGTTCTTCCTTCTCCTATACACGAAGATTCTGACTAGCGATAAAATAGGACTAGAAATTGGTTGGCATATAAATCTCTACATTATGTAGCTTTATAAATATTATCAACTTAGGGAAAGATTTTTTATATTTTTATTACACTTTATCACTTATATAGGGACAACAATGTTAGTCTTTTTTAATCCAGTTATCACATTTATTATTATTATTATTATTGATTTTTGATTTTGAAGAATGCGAGCCCCTCCCTTTTGCGTGGGTGTTAAAATTGTAGGCGTGTCAATAATATGGCAGCGTCTTTTTCTGCCTCGAGAAAAGAATCTTTACCTTCTCCTACCTCCTCCTGCTCTTCTAAAGACAGCAAAGGAGAGAAGGTTGGTGGTACTGGAAAGAGACAGACTACATTAACGGAGCTGTTTCTTTCTCATTCGCCATCAACCAGCTACAAACCGAAAAGACCCAAAGGAGAAACAAATGAAGAAGTTTCAAGCACTATTTCGAGCACTATCTATGTTTCAAGTGAAGAAGGTATAAATATATTTATACGTAAATGTTAAGTATTGAATTTTGAAGTGATTCCAATCGCAATAGGATTTTAACCAGTTTTAAAAGTTGCTCAAAAATCTGGTTCAAATCCCTGTACAGGGTCTTTGGCCAAATTCCGTCAAAAATGACTAGGAGAGAATTCTCCATTTTTATAATTTATTTTGATGCACATACATGTCCTTATGTTGTGTATCAACATTGAACTGATTCCAATCAAATTTGGATTTTTTAATGAATTTTAAAGTTGCTTCAAGTCATTTACTATTATAGTGCAAGGTATTTTAGCTAAGAGAAGATTCTCTGTTTTGTTACACTTTACTGAATAAACCTTTTTTAAGAAAGCCCACGCTGGCTATACCTTTTTACTATGAAAAAGTAATTTTATTTAATTTTTAGATGTTTCGGATTGTTCTCACGTCAGTGAATCTCCTCCCCCTTCCCCCTCTCTCCCTTCTCCCGTGAAACAGGCACAGACGTGGGGCTGTACCCCACTCAACGAGATCTGTTTCGGACCCTCTGCCACGCCCATTCTTCCGCCTCTGAGAGGCTCTGCGTCTCACTGCGTCACTTTTAAAACCGATGGATGCGTCCCAAGACTAACCCCGCCTACTCCAACCCCGCCTACTTACAGAGACGTATGGGACGATAGTCACGTCAGAATGCCAACCTCATCTCAGTGCTTGTATCCAGTACCTGGCTCAAAACTGGTCAAGAAATGGGTGCTCATCACTCAAGCACTATCAAAACCAATCAGGAATTCTTTCGAGCTTGAGGAAGCCATCTTAACTTATAATTCTAGATTTCGTGGCAAGTGGAAGTTCCAGCTCCTTCATGCTTATTTCGCGAGACATCAAACCAAAGAAGAAACCGATAGATTCTTTAGCACCGTCCTTCCTCCATTGAAGAAGCTGGTGCTAAATCTCCCACAGATAATGACCCACGCTGTTCCTCTCCTCTCCAAAGGTGTGTCCTATTCTCTCACTATGTCACAGGAGCAGGTAGCATGTCTACTGGCTAATGCTTTATTCTGTACTTATCCACGACGTAACTCTAACGCCTCCGACTCGGAATTCGCTTCATTTCCAAGCATCAATTTCAACAGTCTCCTCTGCTCCAGACCAATCAAGAAACAGCTCCATAAACTACAGTGTATTTTGCATTATTTCAAACGAGTACTATCCTCAATGCCCTCGGGGGCCGTCACATTCAGTCGTCAAGTACTCAAAGAGGCCCCAAACTGGGACCAATCCACAAAACCTTTTACTTCCCTTCACGTGAGCTCCACAGGGACTATAGAGGATCAGGGACACGGAATGTTACAAGTTGATTTTGCTAACAAGTACATTGGGGGCGGAGTCCTAGACTACGGGTGCGTCCAAGAGGAAATAAGGTTTCTAATATGTCCGGAGTTATTGCTTTCTCGTCTTTTCACCGAAGAACTCTCGCCCAACGAGAGTCTATTAGTTATTGGGGCCGAGCAGTTCAGCACTTATCGTGGGTACTCTAATAGTTTTGAATGGGGCGGGGATTATAAAGACCAGACCCACCTGGACGACTGGGGTCGGAAACAAGTCCGAGTAGTTGCTATTGATGCTCTTATATTCAATCGTAAATGGCAATGGCGACAATACGAGAGAACTAGACTCTCCAGGGAACTGACTAAAGCTTATAGCGGGTTTTCAGGAGAAACCGGCATGACTCCCTGCGGACGCATGATGGGCGTGGCTACAGGTAATTGGGGGTGTGGTGCTTTCGGCGGCGATCCTGAGCTAAAAGCATTGCTGCAGTGGATGGCCTGTTCAATAGCTGATAGAGATATGGTGTATTTTACTTTTGATAAAGGAGGGGAGCTGCTATCAAAACTAGTTGACATTCATCAACTGATAATGAGCAGAAGACTAGTAGTATCCAATCTATGGGAGCTCCTTAATGAATACTACACTGAAGTGGTTGAAGAGAGAGAGAAAATGACACTGTTTCAGTTCTTAACTGGGAAACTGAGCAGCAAGCCCAGCACAAAATGAAAGATATTGTAATTATTGTATTATACATTTTAGATGTGCATGTTAACCAAAGAATTATTTATTGCCTTCATTTAGAATTGCATATATTACTTCTTTCATTTTAATTTAGAATTATATTGAACTTATTTAATTTTTAATTTGAAACAAGTAGTGTGTGTGTGTTCTTATTGTTATTAATAATATACATTAATTGGATGTCAGGGTAATGTTCTTTTTTTTTCTCTCCGATAATCATTGCTGTTTACACTCTGGTGGCTTTGCTTTCTGAATCTAAAGAAAGCAGAAAGAAATTTATTGTCAACAGAAATCTAATTGGAGGATAAAAAGTTCTAACGTGATATGCTTGCAAGCATAAATAAATCATAATTAACACAAAATTTATTATTATTATTATTATTATTATTACTATTACATTTTAATACCACACACAATTACACATTCTATAACTGCAATATTTCCATATGAATCATAATTGGGATGACAACGGCAAGCCAGACAAAATGAAAAAATTTATGAACCAGCAAAGCTAAGTAGCCTCCCCTAACATTCATCAGTATAATACTGCCATGGGAATGACAAATTCCCATTTTGCCTTGAATTTCAATCCATAATGCATTAATAAACTCAGGACACAAGTGATATTAGCCCACAAACCACAGGATGATACCAAAGACACAGAAACAAAGGCTGTGGCAATAAATGCGTTGCCCATGTCCACCAATAAACGAACTTGGGAGAGACGTAGAATGCTTTGGGAGAGAGGAGGAGGAGCGAGCAAGTCCTTTAGAAAGATTACCTAAGTTACCCATGACTCATATTAAAATGACAAGCAGTATAAATCCATCAGCCATCATGGGCCTATACACATGTACATGTACAACACTGCCTATAGTGTTTCTAAACCACACAACATATATGTGGTTAGCTGTATTGGCATGTTCATTGGAGCTACATGTAGCATGCATAATGCATGTATATATATATATAATATTCAAGGTTTAACTTATTTGATAGCAAGATGCTTTTATTAACATGCAAGCCAATTTAAGCAGATATAAACACAGGACAGAAAACAAGCATTATAATAAAAGAGTGCTACACTGCTGACACATACATGAGCTTTTAAATATTAATAGAAGCAAAAAGTGAGACATCACAAACAAATTCCCATTATAATAAATGCTGTATTACTGTAGAATCAATGGATTGGATATTTGTAGTACTTACATCAGAGCTGGCATTGTATTCATCTGCTTCTGGGTCACTATCATCCTCATCATCATCTTCATCATACATCTGGAAAGAAATAAAAGAAATGACAATTATATAATGAGTGGATCTTTCCAGGGCTATGCACAATGATTACATAAATATTGTCACATTGTATCTAAATTTTGCCTCAAGTTGATAAATCACACAAAAATATATGTACCAGTATATATATTATGGAATAAAAGAGAGAGAGAGAGAGAGAGAGAGAGATACTTACAGACTCCCCTTCCTCTTCATCAATAAGGTCACCAGTAAAATACAGAACTGCTTTAGGTATGAGCCTGTCTCTGATGAACTCAGCTCTACTCATGTCTCCCTCCAACTGCATCGAGAGATCAGCAGCTTCAGTCTCCTCCTAACAACACAATGGATGATAACAATCAATGGGAGACAACAAACAGCTGCAAGTACCAAATTCTAGCACACACTTGGGGCATTCGGTGTATGGCTATTATAGGACTATTACAGATAGTGAATGGGATAGAGAATTAGACAAGGTACAGCATTCTTCTAACCCGGCAACAGGGCAAAGAATTGTTTAGTCTAAGTTTTCAAATGTCTTTTTTGTGAGTGGCTTTTGGGTGGAAATCTGATTACACTGACTTATGAAAGAGTGGAACTCCATACACACCAGCATAAGGTAGCAACTCATCATAAGCATACATATACATGTACATCAAGCGACTGAAAAGCAAGGAATATAGAAATGCATACACACACTTACACAAGTACATTGTGTATGTAGATCAGATCATACAACTGCTGGAGCATTAAAAGGTAATTAGAGACATCAAAGGTCTACCCTTTGGGCATCATTGTTTACACAACCACTAAAGGCAGTGCTGTAATATAATAGGATTGATCTGAGGAGAACAACAAGCTAATAGACACACACACACACACACTGGTAACTGGGCAACACATCAGTCCTTTACATACATTTATATATTAACATAGTTCTGCTACCTATGGTGGTCGGGGGTGATCGGGACAACCACCTCAACAAATGAACCAACCAGTTCATCACTTAGACCAACCATCCAATTAATACTAATAACCATACATAAAGAATGCTACTAGTATGGTGTAGATAAATTTAAGAGGAACAATATTGGTCTCCAACCATCTCTATAATTTTTTTCTAGGCAGAACCCAGGGTACATTACATTACATTTGATAACTCACCATTGAGTCAAAGGTGTTAGCTGGATATAGAGGTACAGAGGGAGAAAAAAATACAATAAAATTAGTATAAATTTTTTTGTAAAAGTTACTCACGATCAGGAGGAGAAAAGAAATTAAAGAAAGACTCGTTAGGAACCGTCTTAGTCACCACACGAGATTGACCTTTACCTGAGGAAAGAGAGAGAGGGGGAAGGGAGGGAGAGAGAGAGAGAGGAGAGAAAGGAAGAAAAATATGTTTTGTAAAGTAAAAAAATAAAAGCCCAACCTTTATTCTTTTGTTTCTTCTTGACAGTTTTAACAGTTACATTCTTACCCTTCTTCCAATCAATCTTACACCTGCAACAATGCACACACAGTGTACATCAGTACAAATCATACACACATCATGGAATGGATGCAAATGAAAAGGTATAGACATGATAGACAGAGGAAGTGAGTAAAGGGGGAGATAGTGATTGAGTGGGTGGCTAAGGATATGAGCGGAAATAATTCAAAAGGAAATTAGGAAAGGGAAAAAAATTTAAAAGTGTAATCGATGGAAAGGTCACAGCCGATAGTGTATCAGAGGCCAGTCTATCTGTTCTCTTTAGTGAAGAGAAGCAGGAAACAAATAAAGATGTAAAACTAGGTTTCCCTTTACAACTCTTCCTTGTTGTGAGACGGTAACTCCCCATCAACCATCAATGGGATAGACGCTATGTAGTACTCACATCAGGACCAATACTGGTTCTTATGCACATGCACATGTAATTGAATAATCATAAAACATAATACCATATAGTGGGAAATTTTGGAGGGAGTTAAATTTGGTGGAGTAGTGGCCATGTGCCATTGAGCATGCGTATAATGGCTCAAAATGGCAGATTTTATTTTGCCAAATGGCTATCATAATGCCAATTCGCTAAATTTAATTCCCTTCAAAATTTCCTGCTATACAGAACACATAGAGACTTGGAGAAAAAATGAGAGGCTGAGGGAGAAGTGTGTTTTATATTACCCCTTCACTTCAGTTATTGTGGGACCTTCAAATCCAAAAGGATCGTCTGGTGAAACCTCGCAAGAGACAGTGTACTTTTTAGTGAGAACGTTATTAGTGAAGTACTCGTTATCGGAGAAATGAAAATCCAGCGTGAAATCCTATAGAAATGACATATTGCATTAATGTTGTATCCAGAATGAGAATATTCTCTCCCTCTCCCTCTCTCCCTCCCTCTCTCACCAGTCCTCTTTCATCAGCATAGGTCAGTTTGATGTCAGTTAAATGCTCCAGTATCGCCTCATCGTGATCCTAGTAAGATACAAAGTATACTATACACACACAATAATATACCAAAAGTCTATTGGACCCAACTACATGCATAATAAATGCAACACATGTACACCGTACATGTATTAGACCGGACCATTAATAGCTAGTGATATATACTCACCATGATATACTCATTGAAAACATCAATATTCCTCAGGGCAGTGAGCCAGAAACCAGGAACACCTTTACCTAATGATAAGAAGATGATCGTAAGTCACATGTAGCATCATCTGATACTAGCATTCTGTGTACCTGAATCTGTGTCAGATTCTTTTGTACCGTTAGTAATGAGGCTCTCTTTATCCTGAAAGAAAGAGGAAGAGCAAGGGAGACAGAGAGATGGAGGGGAAGGACGTAGGGAGAGACAAGAGGAGAGAGAAGAAAAGATAAAGTAAAAACAGAAGCCATTAAAGAGGAGCTGTGTCAATTGTTTTCATGGCAAATCAGGCCAAGGAGGGACTATCAAAGGCTTGCAGATTCATGCCCAGACACACAAGGGAAGATTAAACAAAAAGAAATGCTTAGTCAACCAAAAGTAGATCCTTAAGCATACAATAAACCAGCTGGAGAGAACACACCTTTACTGCTGAGTCATCACCATTATCATCCCCATTTGTAACAGGCTTAGGCTCTAGAGGAGAGAGAGGGGGGGAGAGAGAGGGAGAGAGAGGGAGAGAGAGAGAGAGAGAGAGAAAGAGAGAGAGAGAGAGAGAGAGAGAGAGAGAGAGAGAGAGAGAGAGAGAGAGAGAGAGAGAGAGAGAGAGAGAGAAGGTTGAAGTGTAACATGAAGCAGCTGAACACTATAGGTACAAGCATTAATATCAGTATTGTGGTCAGATAAAAAACATCTCTTTGCAAGCTTGCAGTTTACACAGAAGAGGGCCATCAACTTAAGAAACCATTAAAAAACACTTCACAGGATATACCATGCATATAATGTACAGCACACACTCTTTAATGCAATTGGAGTGTCATTACTGAATTATCACCAGCACAAACTAACAACTAAGGAATAGTGACACTAAGGATAAGCAATATTATTATTATTATTATTATTCGTTGCAACATGGAAATGATTGTCTCCTTGGAAGGAGAAAAGATATTGTGTGTCTATTGTTACCAAACTCACCAAAGTACACCAATAATACACTGTGTAATGTTAGACTACAGGCAACAGGGCAAACTTCACTCAACAATGAAAGCAGCTGCTGAAACACTCAATCACTTATAGTTAGAAACACTCAGTCACTTATAGTTAATTCCATAAAGAAAAGGGCTACATTTATGTCAGTTATACCTGCAGACACTGTTGGATCTAGAGGGAGTTTAGAAGAGTTTGGGACACCCAAGTTTAGTCTAGGTCTCTTGAAATCTCCTCATCTTATTTAGCTTACATAGGTCTCCCATTTTTAGTTATATTAGTCTCCCAAAATTATTTCTAAATCTAACAGTGACCATGCATAGATCGCAAGTCTAAATTGTGATCTTTATACATGAACAATAGCCCAAAGTTAAGCCTTATATTCAAATAAGGGAATGAGCCAGGCTTTAGTTAACATTAACTTGTTAACTTGAGTAGTAGGTAATAGTGTTCAAAAAGACTAAGCAACTTCATCCAGACATCATGTGATGGCAAAAGTTTATACAGTAGAACAGACTCTGAAAGGCTATGCTCTCACACTACTGACCATACTCTAATACACTGGCTACTAATAATAGTTTGGATAGAGTATTGAATCATTACTATAGCATGACCTTCCCAGGGAAAATCCCAACAGACTGTAATAATAATATGTACATGTATGGTCCTAGAGACTAAGGTGACGACACATGACTTGTTATTTTCAATTGAAAGTTGCTGTATCACTTATTTCTTACTAGTAGTCTCAGTTCTGGTACTTTTAACACTTCAATACGGATTACCTTATTGTTTTTATAATGTAGCGTGTGTATTAGCATTTTAGAAATAATAATAGTTTTTATACAATAATAATGTCAATACAAAATATAGATACATACGTGCACATGTAATGTCTATTTTTAGAAATAAATACAATAAAATGTCTCAATTTTGTATAAATGATAATAGCATATTAATGAAAGAGGCTGGAGCTGCTATTCATGTGATGAATATCCACCCACGCAATAAATTAACTGACATCAGCGGGACACCAAAACACAGACAGAAACAGGCAGACACAGACACACTATTCATGTACAAGCATGAGCTACGAACCAGTTACGTATAGCACTTGTGATCTTAGAGGAGGTAGATTTGGCATTTTGCTGTCAAAAGCTACCATTTTGAGCCATAATGCGTATGCTCAATGTCACGTGGCCACAAATTCGTCAAATTACATGTACGTGTACATGTACATGTAAAACCAGCCAATGACTCAAAAAATTAGCAGTTCACTAAAGTTGAGCTCTTCAAAATTATCAGCAATATAATACTTGAGTTTAAAAAAATAAATATTGATATTGATATCCTGCTCAATAAACATGTACATCATTACATGTAAATGTATTGCGAGAACTTTTGTTAAAGAAAGCAATTGGTGTATCGGCGTGAAGATTCAATTAACATAAATAAAAAAAATAATAATAAAATATGATAAAAATAATTTTAAAATAAAAATAAAATAAAAATCAAAAATAATATTATAAAAAATAATTAAAATAATTAAAATAATAAAAAATATTATAAAAATAATAAAAAATATTAGAAAAATGATAAAAAATAAAATTAAAAAAATCAAAAATAATAAAATATCATAAAAATAATAAATTAATATACATGTACATGTAGCACTTACTCTCTTCATCTTCCTCGTCCTCATCCTCACTGAGTGTCCATTTAGTTTCATCTGGTGATGGCTCATAAGCTCCAGTCAATATCTGCTCTCTCTATCAATCATGAAACAATACAAAATAAATTAAAATTAATACTACATGCATCTGAATGTAAAACAATGAGGAGACCTGATACATATTGATGTCCTTATGCTGTGTAGAAAGTTTGAGCTGATTCCGACTTCAATTTTTCAAGTTATGGCTATTTTAAAAATGAGCCAAAATCTGAAAAATACCCTGGGCTATAGCCCATGGTTTTTTCAGAAAAATGGCCCAAAAATCACCCCCAATTTTTATTACATTTTCTGATACATATTGATGTCCTTATGCTGTGTAGAAAGTTTGAGCTGATTCCGACTTCAATTTTTCAAGTTATGGCTATTTTTTAAAATGAGCCAAAATCTGAAAAATACCCTGTACTATAATAGCCCATGGTTTTTTCAGAAAAATGGCTCAAAAATCACCCCCAATTTTTATTACATTTTCTAATACATATTGATGTCCTTATGTTATGTAGAAAGTTTGAGCTGATTCCGACTTCAATTTTTCAAGTTATGGCTATTTTAAAAAATGAGCCAAAATCTGAAAAATACCCTGGGCTATAGCCCATCGTTTTTTCAAAAAAATGGCTCAAAAATCACCCCCAATTTTTATTACATTTTCTAATACATATTGATGTCCTTATGTTGTGTAGAAAGTTTGAGCTGATTCCGACTTCAATTTTTTAAGTTATGGCTATTTTTTAAAATGAGCCAAAATCTGAAAAATACCCTGTACTATAATAGCCCATGGTTTTTTCAGAAAAATGGCTCAAAAATCACCCCCAATTTTTATTACATTTTCTAATACATATTGATGTCCTTATGTTATGTAGAAAGTTTGAGCTGATTCCGACTTAAATTTTTCAAGTTATGGCTATTTTTAAAAATGAGCCAAAATCTGAAAAATACCCTGTACTATAGCCCATGGTTTTTTTCAGAAAAATGGCTCAAAAATCACCCCCAATTTTTATTACATTTTCTAATACATATTGATGTCCTTATGTTATGTAGAAAGTTTGAGCTGATTCCGATCAAAATTGGATTTGTTACTTGCTCCTTCTTGTTTTACATTCATCCAGTTATTACTATCAATCGTTATTATTATTATCATTAGCATACTTTATCAAATAATGGCTGATAAAGTGCTTGGTATTTTGCTTCAATCCGCTGGACTTCCTCGTAGAACTTTGCCTCCAGTCTTGTGACCTCAAGCTGAATGTTTTTAAGAGCACGAACACGCTTCTTAATAGTAATAGGAAGACTGGAAAAGAGAGAAAGGGAGAGAGAGAGAGAGAGAGAGAGAGAGAGAGAGAGAGAGAGAGAGAGAGAGAGAGAGAGAGAGAGAGAGAGAGAGAGAGAGAGAGAGAGAGAGAGAAAAGAGGAAAGAAGGTAAAGTAACTCAATAAAAAAGTGAAGAGAGAGAGATGAAAGAATAAAAATCAAGAGAAGCAACAGACAGAAAGTTGCTAAAGAGATACATGCGATGACAAAGGATAATCAATAACTGAGAGAAAACAAAATCCAATAGGAATAACATACATGTACAATGTACAAACAACTTAATGTATAATGAAGCATCCCATTGCTTGTTAATAAGAGTAGCTGCTAAACAGCTCCCAAAAGACTACATACTATGACATCCCATTATCTTCAGTGTCCAATTATTGACATTGATCATTATTATTATTATCGTTATTGTTAGCTCTTGTACTCATTAAAATACTTGACGAACAAATTATTAAATTTATTTGTACTCACAAACAACACAAACAAGTTGAGTGGCAAGCTAGCTGTCAACTATGATTTTTATGCCAAATACAAGAGAACATAGCCACAACAGACATACTTCAAGAGAAATACCCTCCCCACCTCATAAAAGAGCAATATCTTTTAAAATGGTAAAGTACATGTAACGTGAACTTCCAACAATCATAAAAATATTAATGGTTGCAGGAATGTAATTAATAGATCAATGCTATAATAAATAGCTTTAAAGCATGTGCATATAATAATATAAAATAATAGTCAAATGTACATATACTTACTCTTCATAAGTGGATCCTTTAGAAGCAGCAAGATGCTTTTGTAGAATGGACTGGAACTTTGGGTCTTTACTTAGCTGAGCCAAGGCAGCTGTAGAGAAAATAAAGATAAAAGTAGGTTAAAACCACACCCCACAACTAGACATGTGGGGGAGAAACAGAGAGAGAAACTCGCTAAGATGACAAAAGGACATTACAAATACGAGACACAAGCTCACCTTCTGCCTCCTCTGATATATTTGTCTCTGGCAAAACGTCAGCCATATTAAATTGGATAATACACAAAGGAATGAATGGCTCTCTTGGTATGAATTTCTCCGACCTGCTGATGCACGTGGATCACTGGAGTAGAATCTTCTAATTCTTTGATCTTTGGAGGGAGGGACGTTGTTGCTAAGGGCGCGGGCATGGCTGCATGGCTTATTATAATAGGAGTGGCTCCAGCTAGCAGTAGATTTTGATTTTTTTGCATAGTGCGCCCCCTTAGTATGCCCTTGACAATGTTAACAAGTAATTCATCTTTTCATCATTGAATTATACTGTCTTTCCTTGTATCGCAGCTTCTATAGGAAGCCCATCTGCTACAATAGCATTGGCAGTAGTATTTCTAGTAGTTTCGGTATGTGTCCTGTATCATGGAGCTGTTAGTGGAGTTGTCTCTGGTCAGTGAGTTGCATAACTGCTTTAACTCACATCCTCAGATCTATAATCAATCTGTTGCCTCTAGCTATGTGGAGGGTTGTACTTGCGTTGCTGATTGTTTACATTGGTCTCTTGTTAGTTTTTATTCTGTTCCAGGTTTGTTTATCTTCTCTGTATAATTAAATTCACTTTTCCCTACTCAGACTCCTGATGATGCACGATATTTCCTAACATTTTACGACTCTAGCTTAGGAGTTTCTCTACCTGAGAGAACTTATGCTGAAGACTGTCGTATCTATACTCCTGACCACCCTGATGGGATGTTTGCTCATTTTATGGATAAGATGGATATTTTTGTCACCTCTCATTTGGTTGGTTGGTTTGCAAAGGTAAAGGAACAGAGTTGGAATTCAATAACTAACTACCGGCATATCTATTTACACACATGACAGGCTCTTATAGTAAGAGATGTCTGGCTTCTCAATATTGTTAGTATAGCATTTGAACTGTTGGAGTATACTCTGGAATGTCAGCTACCAAACTTTGGTGAATGCTGGTGGGATCACGTAAGCCAATGGATGTACTGCCTTAAGTGAAGGTACAACTTTAATTTGTAGTGGATCTTAGATTTTGCCGTTTGCAATGGCTTGGGTATATATTTTGGAATGCTTGCATGCAGATACTTCAATTTGGAGGTAAGATTTAATTTTGCTATCATGCTATGATAATCTACACTTACCATAATACAGAGATATCATTGGAGAGAGCTATATAAGATACCAAATTTGAAGTATTGATAATATTTTATGTACATGTTCAAGCCATTATTGATAGAAGGAAATCATTGGGGCACACCATTAGTTTTTTTAAATTCTTCTCAGTTGTCATGCTGATTATAATCGTAAGTTGAAACTCAATTATATTCTTATTATTACACAAGCACTTTGACAGTGGCTACTGCAAGAGTTAAACGGGTTTTATCTCAAGACAATACTCTGGATCCCACCCAATCATTCAATAAATATCATGAGACAGTGTCTCTATGCATTCTGTGGAGCTGCTGCCATTAAAGAAATTTATCATTTCCTTCAATCAAAGTTAGAGGCAGCCAAACCCAGGCCCTTTATAGTATATATTTCTTTTTTTTATAGTAAAACTAGTAGTATTGGTTCCAATCATTTCTCATGGCTAGTGTTTACTGCTCTTATAGTAGAGACACTGATTGTAATCAAGTTTGGTTGGGAGATTATTACCATTCCCATACCTAAAGCTGCTGTGATTGGATGGTCTGCTTTCTTTGTGTGCCTTTCAATCTGGGCCTTCTGGAAGTTCACTTATCCTTTGAAAGAGTGGCCTATCATTGGCCATATGCTTCAATCAAGTAAAAACAACAAGAAGAAAGACTAATACAGATGCAGAGCCAGCATTATTGTATAGAAAATTCATAGACAAAATGATTATTATTTTTTTTCATTATTGATATTTATTTCTTCCATCATTATTGTGCAAACTAATCTCAAAAAGGTGTGGCTCATTAAGTAGACACTCACATGGTATAGTCATAGTGTAAAAACAAAAATGGCGTCCAAATCTAAAAGCAAGACTAAAGTCCAGCCCAAAGAACTCAAAGAAGAGGGCCAGAATGACGAGAATAAATTCTCTGATGACGGAACTAGATCATTCTTTTGGTGAGAAGACCCTTTAATAGTCAATGTAGTTGATATAATATGATTATCTGACAGGAGAGCTCACACTGTTACAGTACTGGTACTCATTACTAGCGTCCTCCTGTACATATCCCTCTATGATGTACCTGGAGACACGCTCCACAATGTTAGGAGGTACGAGAGTTATTACAATGTAGTGTAAAGACGTCAGTGTAGCTGCTGTCCCATTAAAACCATCAGGAGGTGTGCCCTCTTCATTTCTGATGCATGATTATACATGTTCTTATGTTGTATAAAAAGTTTAAGCTGATTCTGTTTAATTTTGATTTTAAAAGTTGCTCCAAAGACCATGTACTATAGTACGTGGTATTTCATTAGAAATGGCTAGCCGTGGCGATATTAATGTTATCCTCAAAATTATAGTTTTCTTTTTACTATTAATTGACACATTCAGAGGCTCATTAGCAGTGATACTGGTATTCATACTCATTGGGGTTATACACATGCCTGATGGGCCTTTCATCAGACCTCACCCAGGTTAGTAGATAAAGATATCTCTTGTCATCCTTGACTTACTTTCCTTAGCCCTGTGGCGGTTTGTCCTAGTGATTGTAATTGTATATGTTCTATTGCTCATCTTCACTCTTTTCCAAGTAAATCAATGCATGGTACATGTACATGTACATGTATAATAGTAGTACATGTCAGTATAATGGTAGTACACGTATGTACATTTATTGTACTCTTTGTCAAATGTCAATAATCTCAATGAAGTCGTATTGGGATATAGTGTATGCACTATCTGACATTCAGTGATTGTCACATTAAATATTTGGTAGCTAGCCAATAGCGTTATTGTTCTTGTTTTTTAATTATTTAATTTTCCCCTACTCAGACTGCTGATGATGCACGATATTTCCTAACATTTTACGACCCAGATCTAGGCGTTCCCCTACCCGAGAGAACTTATGCCGAAGACTGTCGTATCTATACTCCTGACCACCCTGATGGGATGTTTGCTCATTTTATGGATAAGATGGACGTGTTTGTCTTATGTCATTTGCTTGGTTGGTATGTGAAGGTATGATGAACACATAATTGAGCAAGAAAATAATGCTATCTATTTTTATGCACGCATGACAGGCTCTTATAGTAAGAGATGTCTGGCTTCTCAATATTGTTAGTATAGCATTTGAACTGTTGGAGTATACTCTGGAATGTCAGCTACCAAACTTTGGTGAATGCTGGTGGGATCACGTAAGCCAATGGATGTACTGCCTTAAGTGAGAGTGCAACTTTAATTTGTAGTGGATCTTAGATTTTGCCGTTTGCAATGGCTTGGGTATATATCTAGGAGTACTCACATGCAAATACTTAGCCATGAAGGTAGCACTAATGAAATATTGCAAACTTACTATGTATATTTTACCTTTTGTGTATTTATTATCCTTCAATGTGTATTTACTATTAACTGTAGAACTATCACTGGAGGGGGCTATTCAAGATACCTAGTTTAAAGTATAGTCTCTGTATTGTATTTATTTATTTATTATTATTATTATTATAGGGGGAAGATCAAGAGAGCTGTAGGTCAGTTCACTCCTTATAACTGGGAGCAGTTCAGTTGGGGATACACCACCAGTTTCACTCGATTTGTATTCGTTGTCATTTTAACAATATTTGTAAGTTATAATTCTCTCCTAGTAATTTTTGGCAAAACTCAGCCGATAATCCTGTACTATAGCCCATGCTTTTTATGGCTCAAAAATCAACCCAAGATTTTGTTATATTTTGATACATATTGATATCCTTACGCTATGTAGAAAGTTTGGGCTAATTCTGACTTCAATTTTTCAAGTTATGGCCATTTAAAAAAATTGGACAATTTCTTTAAAAAATCCCTGTACTAACTTTGGCCAGGTTTTGAGCAACTTTAAAAATTCTTAAAAGTCCAGAATCAGCTCAAACTTGCTACACAACATAAGAACTTGTACATATATATGAGCACTATGCCAAAATCCTGTGGGAAACCCTTGGCCTATTGGCATATTATAAATCTTCCTTTAGTTATCCAGATAGCTATTCAACTGTAATCAACACATTTCTCTCTTTTGTAAATTATAATGATTTATTTCAATGAAAGTTAATGAAAGAAATTGTGTTTATAGCATTCTCATTCATCATAGTATAATAAAAAGTGCCCATTATTTGTTAATTTTATAGTTTCTCCTGCAAGAACTGAATGTCTTCTACCTTAAGACTATACTCTGGGTTCCACCTAATCACTCCCTTAATCTCATTAGGGAAGTTATATATGCTTTCAGTGGAGCTTGTGCCCTCCATGAGATGTACCATTTCCTTGAGTCCAAGTTAGTGAGTCTAAATTTAAATGAACTAATTTATTTTTTATTTCTCTTGACCAGTGATGCAAGTGTAAATCGTATCGGTCGTTTCTCATGGCTAGTGTTTACTGCACTAATAGTAGAGACACTGATTGTAATCAAGTTTGGTTGGGAGATTATTACCATTCCCATACCTAAAGCTGCTGTGATTGGATGGTCTGCTTTCTTTGTGTGCCTTTCAATCTGGGCCTTCTGGAAGTTCACTTATCCTTTGAAAGAGTGGCCTATCATTGGCCATATGCTTCAATCAAGTAAAGACAACAAAAAGAAAGACTAAATTGAAGCGTACGACCATTATTTGTTGCTTAATTGATTCTGATTTACTGTCGCTATAATTATTTTAGATTTTGCAATTATTAATGTCATTGTTGTTATTTGGTTTGGTTCTAACAACGCCTTTTTACTGTTATTAATTTATTATAGACTTTATTTAGAATAACACAGACAAGACTGTTTACATTGTACACTCTGACCAATGAGATCAGTCCACGTGTAATACAGTGCCAATAATACTATTGTTGGCCCACGTGCGGACGTAAGGGCCTTTTCATCTCAAGCTCAGGGCTACAAAGACCTTTGTGTCAATTGTGTGACCAGGCGCAGGAGATAGAGGATATATAAAGGAGCTCATTAGACTCTTCTGTACAACAAAGGAGGTTTAATAATTCTTAAGGAGTTCAGAGAAAAGGAGAACAATGCTCAAGCTGCTTTTGGTCTTGTCTTTGCTCATCATTGTGGTTAATGGCGGTCCTACAAAGGAGGGTCGTCGTAAGCGTGGACCGGTAGATCTAAGCGATGAGGAACATTACGACCCCAAAACAAACGGACACAATGTGGAGTATGACCATGAAGCTTTCCTGGGAAAGGAAGAGGCTGAAGAGATGCAGCACCTTTCGCCTGAGGAGCAGAAGAGGAGACTGCAGTAAGTGCAAACACTTGTGGTGAGAAAACTCCTTGGTTTGTCTTTTGATAGAGTTATATTTGGGAAGATTGACACTAATAATGACAAGCATATAGAGCACAATGAGCTCAAGAAATGGGTTGAATCTGTTGCACACCGGTAAGCTCATAAATGATAATTATTTGTAATTAAAATTTGATTTTTTTTGTTTTGAAGGCACGTAATTGACAGCACGGCAGAGCAAATGCCTGAATTTGATAAAAATAAAGATGGGAAAGTCACCCTTGAAGAATACCATTCCACTGCCTATGGAGAAGTCGAAGGTAAAGAACAAATAATTATGAAATTGTCTTTAGTTGTTGTATTTTTAAAATAATCATGAAATGGTCTCTGTTAAATATTATATTAGATGAAGATGCTGAATATGATCCTCACAGAAAACTATCATTCAAAGAAATGAAAGCAAGAGACAAGAGAAGATTTGACGTGAGTCAACACAGTTTTAATTCTTATTAATAATTCTTTATTCTCTTTTCTACGTGTAGTCTGCTGATAAAGATAACGATGGTTCACTGAATAAAGAAGAGTTTGGTACTTTCCTTCATCCAGAGGACAATGACCACATGAGGGATATAGTCATTGACGAGGCCATGGAAGACATGGACAAAGATAAAGATGGTTTCATTGCTCTTCAAGAGTATGTCGGTAAGAAATTTTACACTTTTAATCTTTCCTTTTTTGTTATGATGACCGGTTCAAATTTGAAATTTAAAATTAATTTCAAGTCCAAAGTAGTAGAATTAGAATAATAGAATAGTGGTACTTATACTAAAAAAATAAGTACCACTATTTTAGTATCAAAGTACCACTATTTTAGTATCTATTCTTCTCTTTGTTCCTTTCTATAGATGACATTTGGCCAAAGAATGATAGACAGGAGGATGAGTCAGAACCAGACTGGGTAAAGAGTGAGAGGGAACAGTTCAGCCAGCACAGGGACTCCAATAAAGATGGAAAGCTGGACAAGGTATGTAACAAAACAAGAACTAGCAGTAATGGTTTCATGACAATATTGATAGAGAGAATTGGGTAGCTGGATAGCTCCTGACGGACATGACAATGCCGAGGCTGAAGCAAGGCATCTGATCTTCAATGCTGACAAAGATAAAGTGAGGCAGTAGTGTACAAGCATTATCTTATGTACCATTGTATTTGGAGCAGTATAGAATCAAACTCTTTCAAGCCCATACATACCAACATAAAGGCAATGATTTAATTTATCTGAAATAGGAAAAAATTGTACTTGGCTATTATTCATGATAATTAGCACTTATGTGATCATTCATTAAGAGTGCAATGTAATTCACAAAGTCTTTCATCATAGGACGGTAAACTGACAATGGCTGAGATGCTTGAGAATGAAGAACTGTTCATTGGAAGCCAAGCAACTGATTTCGGCAACATTCTTTCACGACACGATGAGTTTTAGTTATTAACATATCATTTTTGAACTCAAAAAAAACTCCCAACTGCTTCTACTTAAAAGACTATTAAATGTTGTTCTTAGTTATTATTTTTGATATGAAAATCTGTTATGAATAACAATAAACCTTTCTTTGAACGCCCACGCAAAGCGGTTGCTAGGGTGGGGCTGACCGATGCATTATTGAGACGGGTGTGGCTGAGAGAGGTAAGTATGGAAGGAGATGAGAATGAAGCTGGCCTCCTAGCCAACTGTGTGGACGGAATAAAGGAAGGATTAAGGAAAATCACCGTCTGCCAAGACTTAAAGAAAGATGAGATTTCAAATCCAGTACTGCAATCAAGTAGACACGAAAAATCAGCACACAAAACTGACATAACAAAAGTGATTTTGGATTCATTGCCAGCTCTGCCCTCCTCAGAAAGAACTATTGAGTGGATCCAAAATCTTCCTAGCCCTGACTTATCAAACGATAGTATTCCTTCATTAAGAGATCTACCCATGAGAGGAACGATTCTGCCTACAAGATACAGCCCTGAGGCTATAGAAATACAAGCATCTATTTCATCCTCTCAACAAGACAAAGATGATGATGTTTCATCTCTCTCCCTGTATGAGGATGCAAGAGGAACACATGGTAGAGGTACGCCACCAGCCATACCTCAGGGTCAGCGGAGGCTGGATTCCATATTCCTCAAGTTGGCACAGAATTTGGAGAAAGAGGCAAGAAAGAGACTCATAGCAACGGGGCAGAAGCACCTTCTCAGTTATAACTTAATGGATGTGTACAGGCATCAAGTATCTGGACTGCCATTAGGGACAACACCAGAGATAGTCCCTTTCATGTCACCTAGTGCAATGACAAGTAATGAAGATGTCAGGCACCAGGTACCTAGGGTACTATGTCCAATAGCACACAGCACGAGCACTACAACCAGACCACTCAAAAATACAATTGCTGTAGCATTCCATTACTGTCAATGGTCCAAGTGTCAGAGATGCTTTCAGAGTAGTAGAGAGCTATTGGATCACATTGAAAAGACACACATACCTATCTGCACAGCTGGGAAGCTGGCGTGCAGATGGAATGGATGTGATAGAATTTTCTCAGTCCGCTACAAGTTACTACTCCACATTAGTAATGCTCACTGTCGTGAAGCAGTGATATTAGATGATAGAAAGGCATTGCTTTCAGTTAAGCAAGTCTCATTAATGAAGCCAGGAAGGAAACAGCTTGCACCGATCTCTAATAACAGCAAGGTAGGAAGCCATCACTTATGATCACATACTATGGTATTTCATTACATTAGGCAAGATTTCAAAGCTTGCTAGGAGGGCAGACAAAACAAGATACTAACCAGTCAGTTAAACTAGATGGATCATTATGATTTCATGTTCTTCATTTCACAGGAAATCAAGATTACCTACTATACAGAATAATTACTGTTATTATTATTATTAATAATACATTTTATTGATCGTGTTAATTAGTAAACAACTAAAAACAAGATCAACTTGCCATGCCCAGTTCAGTCCCAGTTGCACGAACAGGGATGGTCGACGTGCTTATACTAGGCCATTATAACAGCTAAAGGCAGTTCCCTAGCAACAAAAAGCTTCTTGAAAGAGAAACGGCCAGTAAGATGTATCTTCGAGGGTTCAGTCTAGGCGGTTCTACTCTCTGGCGGGTGAAAACCCGCCATTTTCCGCGGAAAAGCTCCCGCTCTTCATCCAGTATAGCGACGCATCAGTCAGTGAACAAGACTTTGACTCGGTCTGTTGTAGCACTTCAGCAAGAAATACTCGCCCATCGAAGCTCTCCTCAGCTTGATTGGCAATGTAAATATCACAATACTTAATGTAATGGTGTTTATTTTTTTTATAACTTAGACTTGAATGATTTAAATGGGGGTCAGCTAGGGCCAAGCATGAAAACTGAAGTTCCTGGTCCCAATTCCAGGGTAAGCCTTCTAAAGATTATAATCTCATTAAGTTTCCTTTCTGTGCATATATTTTAATTACAGCTTCTCATGAAAGATCTAGGACAATTTCATGTGAGTAATAATAATTAGTCCTTTTCAAATATTTTTTAATTACATGAATTATAGCAAAACAGCAGCATTGCTTTCTTTATTGATTACGAGAAATCTCAGGGAAACTTTGTTTCAGATGCAGATGGGAATGTCCTCCTTGATCTCTTCCAGCAAATTGGAAGTTTACCTCTAGGTACTCCATAATAATGATTAATTCTTGATCATTATTATTCCTATGCATTTAGGGTACAATCATCCTTCATTATTGAAGGCAGTGGAAAGCCCAGCCACAAAACTCTTCCTTGCAACACGTCCAGCTTTAGGTGTGACCCCACCAATGGATTACATTGATCAGCTTCACTCAACACTTATTTCTGTTAGTTGAACACAATTTTAGCTATTTAGAGTATGCCATTATAATTATAAGGTTGCACCTAGCAAGCTTCATTATGTACAGCCAAAAATGTGTGGTACCTGTGCTAATGAAAATGCACTCAAGACAGCTTTCATTTGGTATAGGGTAAGTTGCCATGCTACACATTGGCTGTATTGTCCTGTATACAAACCAATGATTGCAATTATAGAACAAAGAAAGAGGCTGGAAACAGGTTCAAACTGACTCTGCTGAAATGATGAGTGCTTACAATAACCAGGTTGGCTCAATTATGATAACAAGTTCAAAGTTCTTAATTATAATCTCTATTAAACTCTCACAGGAGCCGGGCATACCAAAGCTAAGTGCACTCTCTTTCACTGGAGGATTTCATGGACGCAGCATTGGTAAGCATGTCGCAGTGAAACGATTCTGAGATTATTCTTTACCCTCAGGTTGTCTATCTGTGACTAACAGCAAACCAATATACAAGCTTGACGTTCCTATGCTTAATTGGCCCAGAGCTACATTTCCCGAATACAAATATCCACTGGAGCATTATGAAGCTGAGAATCTTGCTGAAGACTCACGCTGTCTTGAAGAAGTCGAAGAAACTATTTACCAGCATTTGCATACTGCCCCAGTGGCTGCTGTCATCGTGGAACCAATTCAATCAGAAGGAGGTATGTAGATATCAATATCGAGCTATGATAGCTAGCTTTATTGGTAGGTGACAAACATGGCTCACCATACTTTTTCAAAGGACTACAGCACCTTTGCAAAAAGGCAAGAGAGACATTATGCAATAATGCATGTTATAAAGATTTTTAATAGTATGGAGCTGCTCTGATAGTGGATGAGGTTCAAACTGGAGGTGGTGGTACTGGTAAAATGTGGTAAGTAAAAATAATTAAAACTTGTTTTTAATTATCACTGCGTAGTTACAAATCACACTATATGCTTTTCAGCCAAGGCCAGCATAGTTTGGCTCACCTCTGTATTATAAAACATGCATGTAGTATCAGTAGTAGTATTTGTATAATTACTATAATAGGGCACACCAGCACTGGAATCTCCTTGATCCACCTGATATTATAACGTTCGCAAAGAAAATGTTTATTGGTGGTTTCTATTGTAGAGAAGGAATGCTTCCAAATGAAGTAGGAGCTTATTAGATTTGCATAATGAGAATTCATTGGCAACCTTCTGTGTGTAGCCTTTTAGGATACAGGGCACGTGGATGGGTGATCCATCAAAGATGTTCATTCTTAGAGCTATGCTTGAAGAAATCAAGAGAGAGAACCTGCTCCTGCTGGTAGAAGAGACAGGGAAAGTCCTCCTCTCTGGCTTAAAAGAATTACAAGTGAGGAAACTGTCACTGAAAAGCCTTGAATAAAAGTGTTCATTTTCTTGTTTGCACTTCGACACGTAAACAAGGCCTCAAAATAACAATAACTACTATTTTCTCATAAATAGGATCATTATCCAGGTATGCTTCACAGTGCAAGAGGTAAAGGTACATATTGTGCCATCAGTGCAAAAGACACTGACACACGTAATGAGCTAATTGTTGCTCTTCGTCAAAAAGGTTAGCAAGTCTAGCTGGCGGAGAGTGCATGCACTATAAGAGCCTTTATCTGTGTTTTTGTTTGACATTGTTGCAGTGTGACTTCAACTTGACGCAATCTCCAGTGGTAAATAGATTTATTTAATGCACTACCAAACGCACTTGACGCTTTTTTGAAACTTTTCCCTTAGGGTTTTCTGTTTGGGGGTGTGGTTCGGACTCGATCAGGTTCCGGCCTGCACTTATTTGTCTGCCGAGACACGTGTCATTGTTTCTGACAGGCTTTGAGGACGTTCTGAAGGAAATGTCAAAAAAGAAATAATTAATTCTGGCTCTTTTGTTTGCTTTGTACACTGGCTGCATCAGTTGGTGATTATCATTGGCATTCTGAATAACTTTTATTTTATTTTAAAAATAAACAAGTTATTAATAAAATGAATGATTGATTAAATTGGACAGTTATTCTTAACTATAAATAGTTTTAACTTGTGCTATTTACAATTATTAATTTATCTCAGTAAAAATTTTTCATTGAACAAAAGCGGCGGTCAATACTTATTGATGATGATTGGTTTAAAAGGAGTAGGCTTCATAATACCAGTTGGAAGCTTAACATGGTTATTAACTACATTGTGTGCCAATGGCTCCTCTTGTTTCTTTACAAATGAGCTTTTGCTGATGTCCCCAACTACAGGGCTTGTTGCTACCTTTTTAAACATTCCAGAATATGTCAACGAATTAGTGTCAAAAAGCATTTTAATGTTCCCCAAGTTCCCAGAAAATCTGTTTTTAGTAATCTAAAGAATAAAGTCATTATTATTTCATTTTGTATTATTCATGATTACTTGTAGGAATTTATCACGACCTATCGATTGAAGTATTAGAATATTATCAGCCTCTTGGGTTGCCTTTGCTGTTCCAAAGAAAGAAGACGTCTTCAATGGTCTATCTGGATCTTCCTTGCGAGGATGAATAATGACAGTAATGTGAACATTGTGCTCAGTAGCAAAGTGTCTAAACTCTGCAAAAACCGCATTCTGTGCATGAAAACTGTCTTCGAAGCATCTACAATGATATGGTGTAACTAGATAGATCACATGTGCTATTAAAAACTATTTCTTGTTCTATAATGTAACCTGTCAACCACTTCTTTCATTCTTCTTTTTCCCTCCCTCCCTCCCTCCCTCCCTCTCCCTCTCCCTCTCCCTCTCTCTCTCTCTCTCTCTCTCTCTCTGATATTACTTGGATTTCATTCCAATCATAAACTGTAAGTTATCAATGATAATATGCTGAATACCATTGACCATCACTCCATGAGTCATTGCCTAACAAAAGAGACTATATAAGCCCTGTTTACACTATGCCCTTAAAGCGGTTTGGAACCAGTTTAGAAATAAATCAGTTAAGTACTGGAGCAGCTGTATTATGTATGCAATGTAGCATTGTAAACTGATTCAACCAGAGTTACATGTGGACACAATTGAGCTGGTTTCTGAACCGCTTTGATCCAAACTGGTTTGTAGTGTAAACAGGGCTATTATTCATAAGTCTATGACAGCCAAAACAAGACACTATCAATGTCTCATCAAACAATAAACTCTGGCACAAATAGACATCCTATAGTGGGCATATTTGTAATTCTATAATTGCAGTACCTCTATAACTTTCGTCAGCTCTGTTTGACCGTGAAACTTCATGAAATGCATTGGAAGAGTTCGAAATTTCTCAGCATAACTTTGGTATTCATTTAAATGATCGTCAAAATTTACGCTATGAAATCACACAAGGGTGGAAGTAATAAAGATAATAGTAATACGTGTAAATACCCTGAAAATTGTTTCATCATGGTCTTTATTAATCGAACATTTGATAATTCAAAACTTCCCCAAAGAGTTGAAACCTATATTGATGGTATTTCTTTAAAATGCCAAGACAATAATTGAAAAATAAAATAGTTGTAGATCAATAATATTCCAATTGCTCTCTCTCTCTCTCCCTCTCTCTCTCTCTCTCTCTCTCTCTCTCTCACCCCTTGTTGGCAAAGGTCCAATGACATTTCACTCATAAAAGTTGTTTTACCACTCCCAGTGGGCCCAGTAAATATTGTCAATTCTCCTGGTCTGAATCCTTTCAATATTGCCGTCAGCTTAGAAAACCTTTTCCACTATAAAAATATGCAAAAATGCACACCAAATCACACGCTTCCTTTACATACTTTAACTCCAGCTACTTTCTCTGTATTCAGGAATTCCTCATAGACATTGTTCTCGAGCTAAGAGCATATGTATAATATAATACAGGAATATACTACAGGCTGTACATGCATGAATATCGATATATGCATGTACACCATATACATGTAAAGTAAAGATGTACATGTATATGTGACTGCTCACCTGATGAAAGTATAATATTTCCTTGTGAGATGCTGGCTTAGCACTATCAATTATAGTCCTGAAAGACAACCCCTACAATAATGATAACATTTATAAACTTTAACTTTCTTTTTTCTTACATTATTTAAGGCATCGAGTGGAGATAAGCGTTTACCATCCTGTGTAAACCTATATGGGAATAAATTGTACTGCTAAGGTTGAACAATGAAAAATGTAATTTAAAAATTGGGGGTAATTTCGGAGCCATTTTTCAGAAAAAACCATGGGCTATATAGTACAGGGTATTTTTCGGAAATTTTCTAATCAGAAAATTCAATAAAAATTGGGGGTGATTTCGGAGCCATTTTTTGGGAAAAACCATGGGCTATAGCCTTGGGTATTTTTCAAAAATTGGACAATTTCTTTGAATTGCTATAACTTGAAAAATTGAAGTCGGAATGAGCTCAAACTTTCTACACAGCATAATGACATCAATATGTATCAGAAAATGTAATAAAAATTGGGGGTGATTTCAGAGCCATTTTTCAGGAAAAACCATGGGCTATAGCCTTGGGTATTTTCCAAAAATTGGACAATTTCTTTGAATTGCTATAACTTGAAAAATTGAAGTCGGAATGAGCTCAAACTTTCTACACAGCATAATGACATCAATACCTATCAGAAAATGTAATAAAAATTGGGAGTGATTTTGAAGCCATTTTTTGAAAAAAACCATGGGCTATAGCCTTGGGTATTTTTTAAAAATTGGACAATTTCTTTGAATTGCTATAACTTGAAAAATTGAAGTCGGAATGAGCTCAAACTTTCTACACAGCATAAGGACATCAATATCTATCAGAAAATGTAATAAAAATTGGGGGTGATTTCGGAGCCATTTTTTGGAAAAAACCTTTGCTTTTTTTTCCAAAAATTTGTTACATTAGAAATAGCATTTTAGTTGGAATCAGCTCAGAATTTCTACATGGCATAAAAACATCAATACGTATCAGAACGTGCAATAAAAATTAGAAGCCAATTTGTAAAAACCATGTCATAAAATCCAAAATCAATTCACACTAGCTCAGCCTCAAATTATTACATTGTACGTCATGTAGTGCACTTTGAGCTGATTCTTATTACAGTTTAATACACTAGGAAAATAGTCTTTGAATCACTCACTCATTGATAGTCCAGCAGACAGGCTTGTTTAACAATCTTGGTAACCCTGAGACAAGAGATGAAGAACTATCCCTAGGCCATATAAATATCTTATCCATCTCTTCCAGATCTTTTAACAGCTACACATGCACACACGAGTGTAAAATGATAAAATTCAAGAGAATAATAATAATAAAATTTTTCCTCACTTGAGGAGGTAGTGCAGAAAATGGCTTCAAGTTCATTGCAATGGAGTCAAGTGTAGACCCTTGAAAGGCAGCCATGGCATCTATTTCAGCATCAGTAACAATCAACTAAACAAAAAATATATTTAAAAAAAGAGAGATTTCATGTAGAAATAGATGCATTTTTACTAATTTCTTGCAGTTTACATAATGCTACAGCCACAAATGCTATAAAATATTGGCAATGTTGAATATTTTTTTCAATCTCTTGCTATTCAAAAATTCTAAGCACTCATGAATGTGTGGGTTACCTCTTTGGTCCCAGTTCTCTTAATGTCATGCCATCCAAATACAGACCGATTCAATGGTAGCTCACCATCAGATGGAGTCAATACCTTTAAAAAATTTATACACAAGTATAAGTAACTAAATAACAAGAGCTAATAATGTTCCTGTGTTACACACTAGACCTTCTTAGTAATTCATTAGTACACAATAGAATAGTACATTGATGTATAGAGGTCACTATTGTATGTCATTCATTATCCAATGTTGACCACTAACCATTTCTCCATTTTCAATTGATCCTGTTCTATTGAAATTTGATAAAAGAGAATAAGAATACCATGGGAAGATGAGACTGCTCTTTTCATTATCCTAAATAAAACATAATTATCCTTAACACAACAAAAACAAGAGCTTATTAATCGAAATATCATGTGACACAATCCACATACCAAGTGTAATGTCACACTGTATCTCTGAATAACATCAGTGGATAATTTCTAATTGAAAAAACATTAATATTATGATAGTGATACAATATACCACTGTACCTCAATAGCAAATAACTTTTTAACTTTATCATTTATTGGCAGAGAAACAATAGACTCCTTTTGTGACTTGAGTGGGCTGGGTAGTGTAGAAGTGGAAGACAGAACATCATCATCATCATTAGTATCTGCAGTCATCATGACAGGATCTTTACTCGTACCATTAAACTTGAGTCCCTTAGGAGTTAAAGTAGGGCTAATGCTGCCAAGTTTGATATTTTTAGCCATCTTGAGAGGACCATTAGCTTTAATGGTGGCATTAGTGGGTCTGTTCTTTAGAGCGGTTTCCTTGGCTTGGCCTTTCACTTCAGAAGAAAACAAATCCTTCTTAGTACCTAAAGAGATAAAGTAGTGAACGCCGAGGGAGTGTATCGGTAGAGCTACCTGACTTCTTGCAGGGAGTGCAGACCCATTTCCCGTCAGGTTGGATGAAAAGAGTGCTTGATTGGGCCGTGCAGTGAGGACAAGGAGACACTTTGAGAGAGGTCACGCCAGTCGTAAACTTGAGCCCTCTCTTCTCCAGCTCAGCTCTGATCGAGTGAGAAGCAGAGCTGAAGTAAGAGACAAAGAAACGAGACAAGAACAATCCAGTCGCCATTTTTACAATAGCCACGTGGGACTTATGAGCACGTGAGTACACGTGGCCAATCATTTTAAAAATTAATAATGATTAATTAATTTTAAAATGAAACACATAATACATCACACAAATTATCATTGGTTTTACTTATCGAAAGATGTCATCAAAGTTTTCAATGAGTTTTTTAATAAAAGCTTGTTGAAACTGTATGCTAGCTAAGTTCATTCCGTCTTCATCGACAGGCTTCATTAAAGTTGGAGCAAACACAACAGCTAAGTTATGTGACTTCATTTTATTCATATCGCTGTGCTTTGCAACACTGAAGAGAAAGAGAAAGAACACGATAATAGATGATATAAAGAACTATTTGTCACTACAGTACATCGTGATGCATATTATAGTGATGATCTTACAGATTGAGGTGCTGAACAAAGAATTGTAATGTTTCGTAATGGCTTCTTGGTAATTCCTTGTGAAGAATTTGTCTTACATTAGAATTAAATGACTCATCATCATCTTTGAAATCTGCAATTTGATACAAAGAGAGTATTATTATTTTATTATCACAAAATAATTACAAATTATGGTTAATCAATGTATACATGTACATACACTGTATGTACAGTGTATTTTCTAAGAATAAATTATTTCTTTATTATAATATAATTACTATACCTTTGACTGCTTGTATGACAAGTGGATATACATCATAGGTGATGAGTGGGTTGGGTAATTCTCTGAAGTAAAGTTTGACTGATCCAGTCACTATGTGACAATCATTCAGCTCATTCCAATGAACTGGCTCACCTACAAAGGGCACCAATAGTCTACACTGTATTCATATTACAGCATCTTTCTCTCGCTTTTTGTTTATTTGTATTTCCTCTTTCAGATTGCACTGTCCCTCTCTTTTATCATTATGGTTTCGTGAAGTTTATGCCCTCCTTATTATTACCCTTACTCTTGCCTCTCTCTCTCTCTCTCCTACCCCCCTCTCTCTCCTTCCTCTCTCCCCCCCCTCTCTCTCTCTTACCCTCGTTGAATTTCTCCTTTAAGTCCAGTACTTTGGAGGTAGCACCAGAGAGTCTGTATATTCCCTCCGAGTCCAGGGAGTGTCTTTCAATGAATGCCACACTCTGCTGGACTATCAGTGGGATGCTCCCACCCTCTACCATCACAAGTGTAGTAAGATCAATGCCAAAAACTATACAAAGGGAATAAGTAATAGTTACTCATATACTTTGAATGGGAGATCAAAAGATAGCATTATGAACTAAAATAATAGTCCATAATAATAATTTAATACAGAATTGGAAAGCGGTTGCATTACAGCAAAGCAAGGGAATTAACGATAATAAAACGTCACAAATAGTGAGCCTGTTGCCAGCAATGTAGTACAAATAATGGGCTAGCAATTTTGGCATATCCTTAACACTAGAACTGAATGCTACCCAAGGAATGAGGATGCACAATAGCTAGTACAATTCCTTTGAAGAATAACAATCAACACAGCAACCTAGCATGAGTATACTAAGTGAGAAGGGAGGATGGTATTCGTGTGATGAGTATAGTACTGATGGTCTGTTGTGATAACCTCTAGAGGTGAACCAAGCTTACCTTTCCTGATTAGTTTTCTACTAGGAATACAGTCAGAGTGACTCAGGGCAGCTTCATGACACTGCTTGTGAATGTTGATACCACAATCTGGAGAGGAGAGAGAGAGGGAGAGAGGGAGGGAGGGAGGGAGAGAGAGAGAGAGAGAGGGAGAGAGAGAGAGAGGGAGGGAGAGAGAGAGAGAGAGGGAGAGAGAGAGAGAGGGAGGGAGAGAGAGAGAGAGAGAGGGAGAGAGAGAGAGAGGGAGAGAGAGAGAGAGGGAGGGAGAGAGAGGATTAAGAGACATAAAACAAGATGATCAATAATGATAGAAGTACGCGAGATAATCACAAATAAATCCAAAGCAAACAATAATTAACAACAACAATAACAACATCATACACAATTATTACCTTGACATGACATTCCCTGATGAACAAGGCCCCACATAAAATGATGACACAAGTCACACCAAGTTGCCCTCCTGTAGGTAGTTAATGAGAAGTTATGCGGTTTTTCATATGATGACGAATTCCTCCTTGATATAGATATGCCCTATGATAACAATAAATCAAAACAATTAATAATAATAATAAACAAGAATATTATTATTATCACTGAAAATAAAAGTACCAAAAATAAACTATTTATCTACAACAATTGGCTAAGTATGAGGTAATCAGGTAAACATGTTGACTGTTATAATTACCACTATGCCTAATTATTATTGAATTAAACATGTAGTCATTATGTAAAGGTGTAAAGTATATGGATCAAACTTGTCTTGCTTGCTCCAACAAGTTGTACAGTTAAAGGAAGGAGGATTACAAAGGGAAAAGCCAGAAATGCTAATATCTGTTGCAGTTCCTTTGTAAACTGACTTAACACGATAAAAGAATCTACATATCATTACATACTACTTCCCCTAATATTTTCCTTTCCCATTCACATTCTTCCTAACTCACTTCAGTGGCTACTGTAGCCTGCACTAGAGTAGCTAATAAGCCAGTGAGATCGCCAGTAGACCTGCTCTTTGAGTCTGATTTATTCTTAGAGTTAGCGCTGCCACTCCGTGGTAGGCCGAGAAGGTTGGCGGTTGTACTCGTGAGTCTCTCACTCTTAGTGCTTCCGTTTTGTCTCGTCCCTTTGTCCCTGGTCAGTCCTCCTCTTTGTCCGTGGTCCAAGTTAGATACATGTACATCAATAGTGGGCGGGTCTTCTGCTAGCGAGCCGAGAGATGGGACAGATGAGAGTCCGTCTGTAGAATCAAAGGAAGCAGAGTCGACTGATGATTGTGATTCCGGTCCTCTCCTACCCCGCCCATTGCCACGCCTCTTGTATTGTGCGTGACGGCGTCTCTTCCAATTGCTTGACTGAGTACTTGATTGCTGCTGCTGCTGTCCTTGCGCTAGCTTCTGATCAATATTCTCATTATCCTCGACATAAAGAAGTATTAGACTGTTATTCAGTAGCTCTTGAATGCTTCCATAGTCTTTATCGTCTAAAAGAGAACGAAATAAATATCAATTTCTGTAGTTCCCAGATACATTAAGCTAATATTATATTGGCATGTAAACCTCCTGCTGTTTACAATTGGAACTATGTAGATGTATGCGTGGGTGTACAATTACATTACATGTACAGGCATACACATGTACATGTACAGGCATACACATGTACATGTACTCATGTAATGTGTGTGTGTAATTATCCATGCACATGTACATGTCTCTTGTACATAAAGGGGATGAAATGTGAATGCAGTAATTAAGGACGACAGTAAGCCAGTAGTCTATAATTTGACACTCCAGTGGGCATAAAATCAGAAATATATGTAATAACGAAGCAATAAATACATTTACGCCTTTAAATTTCAAATTTATTAGCACGATGCTTCTAATAATTAAGATTGTTCAAGCTTGGCTTGCACCTGTGACATAAACATCAACTATACTCAATTTTGCTTTTTCTCTCTCTCCCTCTCTCTCTCTCTTACCATAAGTGAGGCTGCCATTATCATTGTATGAAACAGAGTAATGGTACGTTCTAGAATTATAACTACAAGAAAGAAGAAATAAATAAAAATAAAATAAATTAAAAGGATTGACGCACTTAAACGATAAAAAAACTTTATCAGACATTGTCTTCCTTAAAAGGAAAGTTCCACAAGGTTTATCAAAGAGTAGCTCAACAGCGTCTGCCTTTGATATCAATCCATGATACCTAAAAGGGGAGGAGCATCATTACCATGGATACATGAGGTTAACCAGACTTACCCTGGACCATAATGATGAAGCTGTTCTGGAAACTAAGAGAGAGTGAGAAAGAGAGAGAATATAAAATCAATGTGTGGTTGATAGAATGTTAAAACTTGCAATTTATTAATAATTTGATTACCTCGGTCTCAGTGATACTGGATTCAGTTGGAAGAGGAAGAGACTTGGGAGCCTTCAATTGCAAGGAATACACTAAAAGGAAAGAAATGTAAAGCATGCAGAATGTAAGTGAGCTATGCAACAGTTTTTACAGATGAGTAAGTAAGGGAATCATCTCATAGTAGAGGAGGGAGAAAAAGAATGAGAGAGACAGAGAGAAAAATTTAGACAATAGAGAAGAGAAAGAGAGAGAGAGAGAGAGAGAGGAAGAACAAAGTGAGATAGGACATACAGCAAGGATTCCAATTCTCAAAAAAAGGACCGTCATCGGATAACATATCATCATCATCCACAGTCAAAAGCTGGTCATGTTCACAGGTGGTAATCACCTCGGGGGGAGATGAAGAGCGAGAGGATGAAGGGGTAGCCTCAGATCCTACACCATCTACAAGACAGATCACAAATATTTGACAAAAGGTACAAACATGTATATATATATATATATATATATATATATATATAAGTATATGTGGAGTATACTACTGCTGTTGTTTGTTTAATAATCATAAAGCATATTAAGGTAGCTATCAACAAAGTAATGTATTTTCATCATAGTTATGCTTGATGGGTTACATGTATATTCTAGAGTGAACTTGTCAAAGAAAAAAAAACAAAAAATAAGATAAATTATTAGGTTCCTCTCATTTCCAAATGCATAACTGATGCCTTAACCCAGGGATATAACCTATGTTCACAAAATTAACTTATAGTTACATAAAAATATACCCTGTTTAACCTACATGTCAATTCCTTCTTATACAAAAGGTTTTGGTATGACAATAATTCACATATACTATACAAGGCAGGGACACAGTATAAAGTTGCTTAATGATGCAAGTAACTTCCTGCCCCATTCACAGTTTAACATGATAGCTGTAGGGCTCCTGATCTCATCAACACAGCTGTTACTCTATTAGCTACCACTCTATTAAGCAATAAGTGTGTCAATAAGGAGCAGTTATTTTTATGGCAGCTCTTAATTAGAGAGTAAATCGGGAAGCTACTGATCACACATAAAAAGTAAAAACAAAAACTGTGAGTGAGTCTGTATACTTAATGCCTCAATACGCAAGAGCAAACATGGCACCTGGCGTACATGATGTAAGCATTCTTATGGGAATGGATATAATGCATACAATGTATGTGATAATATGATACTAATTTACATGCAATGCTCCAATTTAACTGCGTCATAAGTAAACTGGATGCGTATACACAACATTGGGTAGCAATAGCAAGCTACAAAGTATTATGCTGCTAGTTTCAATGTTGTTCTAAAGAATGTGGTGTCTGCCAAATCCTATCATTATTCGTCAAAATGTAAAGTAGAGAATCAAAACTATCCGGTGTAGTTAATGCAAAATGGGGCACTAGGAGCCAGTGCTTGTTGAAATATTGTTAAGTTGTGCATTATAGACAACTGGTCTGTTTGTAAATAAGCTATTAGGAGTGTCATAAACACCTCCACAACCTGCAGCAAGCAGCATACATTAGACACTAGGAATCACTGGCTATTTCTAAGTTTATAAAGCAGCTCTCCAACCCTCTCTTTCTCTCTAATTCTGTCTCCCTTCTACCTCGTGGCTCACCTTCAAAGTCTGCGTTCATTGTCTTGTACAACGAGTCTCCATTCACATCGAGCGGGATGGCTGACGGGAGCTGGGTCACAGTACAGGCCATGGCTTTTGCTTTCTGCCTTCTCTTGGTATTTTTCTGAAACTGTTTCAGAATTTCAGTCACCTTTAGTATTTTTTTCCTTGAGTGAGATAATAATGAACAGATGACTAGCTTTTTATCATTATGCGAACAATAATAATGATGCGTGGGTAGATCTACCCCCATATGGGCGTGGCGTGGAACTGCTGAATCGAGAATTTTTCTTCATTGAGAACTTTTAAGAAAATAATTAAAATTGTAAGTATTTTGAACTAATAGAGAGAGACTGGGAAGAAAATAAACACAGTAAAAGTTTCTGTTACGTCAAAAATGTTGTCAATAGCCCCTGGTTCGTGTGTGTTAGTTATGTCAAATAGTGTTGGATGTTATTTATTATCATTATTATGCCTAAAATCATGATTGGATAGACTAAAAAGCATCCATCCAGTCAACATGAGTCGATACAGTAGAATACATAGTTTACGGATGAGGATTAAACTATATAATAATAATAGTAATAATAATAATCAATGCTTTAAATGCTAGACGTAATTAAATTAAATTATACACTATGTGAATGTACGTGTTCTTATACAGGCGTGTCGCTGAGATGTCCCATATGGAATGGTCTAATGAGAGTATTGTTAATGCCATAAAGAAATGTCAACAGCAAAGGGCCTTGTTCATTGTGTATGTTAAAGGTAAGTGAGTGCATACATACATATAGGGACAATAGTATAGGGACTAGGGGGGTAGTAGGGACAATAGGGTGGGAGGTACTGGATAAAAGAGAAAGGATAGGTTGTAGAGATAGTTGTACGTTTTTGATGGGAAATATTCTTGGCATTATACAATGTACATAATACATGTACATAAACACACAGATACATGAGCATTTTATAGTAGTGGTGCATTTTTTGATGGGAAGAATCTTGGTAAATTGCCAAAGTATTTTGTGTATGATTGGGGTCACCGACTCACCACTGATATTGTTGTTCGACTGAAATTGCAGGTTTTTATTGTTTGTTAAATGGTCATTAAAATTAGCAAAGTATTATAATATAATTATGTTATGCAAAAGCGATTTCAAGTATTGACTACACTAAAACTGGAATGATTAGCCATTATTTGATTTGGATGTAATGAATAGTTTGACCAATTATTTAATAAACCAACAGGTGAGTATTACAATGTTACAAACTGAGCCTTTCCTAGAAGAGATTGGGAGGGAGAGGGAGAGAGGAAAGAGCAATATTCTGATAAGCAGAACATTAATATTTTTATCATCATGAGATTTGGAAGGAATGGAAACAAGAAACAGTTGAATGGTTTTACGTATTCACACGAGAGCAGTAGCTGTATGCAGGTATACTTCACATAAAAACAAACTGAATTCTTAAAAATGAGAGCAAACAGGAGGAGAGTTCACCAGACAGTTATTTGACGGGTTAATTTTTAAGTTAATAGCACCGTATATAAAAGTATAGGATATAGACATGTTTTCAATTAAAAGTCCTATGAGTCAATTAAAAGGGAAACATAAGAATACAGTTATTTCATAACAGACAAAATATTTATGTGTGGCATATATTAGCTAAATCTCTCATTTTTAGTCAGATTTATGTCTAGATCTAAGACCGGTATGACTACAATTGTTGATTGTTGTTAGAATTATACATAACAATTGAATTGTTTTCAATAAAAATATAAGGAAATGCTTCCCCATTCACGTCCACATGCACTACACTTTGACTGTTATAAAAACATCCTTTATGACTGAGAATGCACGGACACACTGCAAACATTCATACTCACTACTGCACCATCATTACCTTTGTCTATAACACTTCCTTCCCCTAAAGATGAAAGTACAGCATCCAGTACATCAGATGCAGCATGGAACAGCAGAGAGGTAAAGTATACTGAATATTACTACAATCTTTCTGATCTTTGCATGTGTGTGTGTGTATATACATGCATTTGGGCCAACTAGACCTTTTACGTAAATAACGAATGTTTGTGCATCATTCATGATAATATAGCCCATTGTTGCTATGTTTGTGTACAGTTGTCATTGGAGTTTTGCTTGTGTAGGTATTTGATGTATTATCATCCAATCCACATGTAGCCATTAGGCTAATGAAGGACAGGTAGGGAGGGGGAGAAGAGAGAGAGAGGGGGGGAGAGAAGGTTCAAAAGCTGATGTGCATATTTTATGAGGAAGTGACATAAGAGTGTCGAGGAAGAGAATTTAACTGTAATGACACTCTTTCTCTCTCTCTCTCTGTATATCTCTAATAATAGTTTGGAATATCAGCAGTTCTCTCAATTGTGTATCCTAATCATTAGCTTACAATTCTTTTATATTCTATTACCCACAACCTCATTAGGAAGAGTGTCACTGTCACCCTCTCTCTTGGACCCTTTTACTCTTTCTCATCACAACAAACACCAGCTCTTGCTCTCTTTACTTCTCTCATTGTTAACAGTTACACTATTTTGCTCTCTTTTGCTCATTCCCTCTAATCTTATTCACAGATTTCACACTATTGTCAGTCACACTCTGACACTAATAGTACAACTAGACACAGACAATTAGCAATTGGCAGGGACTTATAAATACATAAGTAAAAATAAAATAATAGTTATGTCTTGTTTGATGGTATGAAGGCATTTGACTCACTCGTTTATTGGCTTGTCTTGTTTGACATTTCCTTAAAATTCTTGACTGATTTATCTTTTATTGTATAGCAATGCTACATGTAATACAATTTTATTTCAATACACATGCATGCTTAGCATATTTATAATAGTATACAAATGAGTACATGTGCATCTACATATATATGTGTATAGAAGTATTTAGTCATGTGTTTATGTACCAGCACACCAACTCAATGGCTTGCAAACAAACATTTGTGTTTTAGCCTCAATAGTCTCCTGTAACTAAAGCAGGACTCTAGTCATGTAGTATTTACTATTGGGCTATTGTGACAGACAGACACACCTTCACTTGTGTACATACAATAATGCCTTAAACCCTAAACCTCCTGGCAGTCAATCATACGGTTCACTGAATATTGATGTCTCTTTCCTTTCACAAACATAAACTGTCTCATCCTTTAAAGCTTTTTTAATAGTATTTACCCTCGGGGTACATTAGTGGAATATGATGTACATTAAAATGTCATTTAAAGTTATAATTATTATTTATACAACTACATAGAAGTCAATCACTTATTGATTCATTCCTTAACATTAATGATCCATCAGTCCCAGTATTATTGACACCGTGTCTGTTCTGTATTGGTAATAAAGGAGAGATTCTAGAGACTACTAGTGGAGCAATGGACCCAACACAGTTAGCCCAATTACTCATAAGAGCCTTTCAAGTGAGTACAAGTATCACATTTCAGTTATTTTTGATGTCCCTCCTACACATGTACATAAACCACCCACTCAATTGATTAAAAAGAATCCCTTTTAATTAAATTATTTGAATGGAAAGGCTTTATATAATTTGAAATACTAATAAGGTCATTCATGATTATTACAAGTGGGAACTGAAGCATCCTCTACATTGCTAGTGACATTTATTTTTTGCTGTATTCACTTCAGAAACACAATCCGGATTCAACTGTTGTACCTCCCACTCAAAATGAGTCTGTAACTAATGGAGCTGTGTCTGAGACCCGGCCCCTTAAGGAAAATGAGGAGATGGCACAATCTGACCCCCTGGAGGAGCAACAAAGTGACAAAGAAGAAAAGCTTGTAAGGTAAGAAAATAGACCATAAGTACATGTATATGCATCAGAAAAAATTATAAAAATGGAGAATTCTCACCTTTTCAATTTTGGTAAAATTTGACCCGAGACCATGTACTATAGTACAGGGATTTTGGCCCAATTTTGGAGCAACTTAAAAAATTTGTAAAAAATCCAATTTTAATTGGAATCAGCTCAAACTTTCTACACAACATAAGTACATGTATATGCATCAGAAAATATTATAAAAATGGAGAATTCTCACCTTTTCAATTTTGGCAAAATTCGACCCGAGACCATGTACTATAGTACAGGGACTTTGGTCCAATTTTGGAATAACTTTAAAAATTTATAAAAAATCCAGTTTTGATTGGAATCAGCTCAAACTTTCTACGCAACATAAGTACATGTATATGCATCAGAAAAATTATTAAAATGGAGAATTTTTTCCTTTTCAATTTTGGAAAAATTTTGGAGCAACTTAAAAAAATCAAAAAAAAATCCAATTTTGATTGGAATCTGCTCAAACTTCCTACACAATGTAAGAACATGTCAATGTAGCCATTCAAAACCTGAAATGCTTTATCAATTACTATTATGTAATACTGTAGTCTCCAGGAGAAGAAACACTTACTGCGACAGAAGAAAGAGCAAGAAGCAAAAGAGGTCAGCCAATTCACAATCAGGAATGTTTGTCATTATATCCGATAGAAAGAGAAAGAGAGAGAACTGAGGAGACGCAAAGAAGGACAGCAACTTGAGCAGTGGAAGAAGGACAAGGAAGACTTGGAGAGAGAGCAATGGCTGAAGGAGAGGAAAAAACAAAAACTAGAAGAAGAGAAGGCTAGACAAGAAGTCTTAGCTAAACTGGAACAGGACAAGAGAGAGAGAGCTGCTCAAAGAAAAAGACTATCACAACAACCCACTGAAGGTATGGTTGTATGTGACTCTCCTGTCGTCAGTACCTGCTTCCTATAGAAACAAGTGACAGTACTACTACTAAAGGAGCAGGACCTTCTGCAAGCATTAGGACTTACAGCAAGTGAGTAGATGAATGAAGGGATACTAGTGTACTATAGTAGTATCATAGACTTTTCAATTGTAGTGTGATGAATGGCACATAAAATGTGTAAATACATGTAATACACAATAATTATTTATCCTCTATTATTTCCAGCTATATAATGCTTTATTATTATTATTATTATTAAAATGGTGATTATTATTATTATTATTATTATTATTATTATTATTTAGGACTGCTCGTGTCCAAGTTAAGATGAGCAATGGAAGCACTACTGTTCTGTCTCTCTCTTCATCAGACACTGTATCAACACTGAGACAGCAAATCGCTGAAGTAAAAAAATAACAAAAATAAACTTTATTGACCCTTTAAACATCTCCTTAGTTCCTGGAGGCTGATATTGATAGCTTTTCAATGACCAGTGGGTATCCTCGTACAGACCTCACACATGAGCTTGATGATACTCCCCTCAGTGACCATGGGCTGGCACCTTCAGGTGTAGTCATAGTAAAATTTAAAAACGTAAGAAGATTATTTAAATATAAAATAAGTTTGTTTTTGAGCAGAAAGGCGGTTCCTCGTTTTCACCAAGTGGTAATGGTGGGGTGTTAGCAACAGTGTGGGGTCTTTTTGCTGCCATCATACAGTTCATTGTAATGATATTCAAATATATTAAGGACAGTATATTTGGTAGTGGGTCTGGATCAACCTCTCAGCAATCTTCACAAAGAAGGTATTTAATAATAATGATGGTAAATGCTTATTAATTTTACATTATGCCAATTCAATAATTTTAATTAGGCTTTAAAATTTGGGTATTATTTTTATTATTTTTTATTTTTATTTCCCAGTTCTATCAATCGTGGCGGTAACCAACGTTTCAGGAAGTTCAATCAAGATGATTTTAAAGATGATGACGATGAGAAAAGGAAAGAAACATACAATGGAAACTCAACCCAACAGCTGTAGCACACGCACTGTTACCCTGCCAGATAACACTATGGACTATATGCATGCTTGTTAACTTGTGATACAGTGTGTAATTATTTTGTTAAAATAACTTGATTCACACACAAGTTCTAAAGTTTAAAATGGACTCTTTTCTTCTTAACGTTTTCTTTCACTTGCGATTTGATTTTATCCACATCAACAACCACAACTACATCAAAAATAAAAAGATGCCATCAATCACACTGTGCATGTCTGTATACTATAGTATACTTTCAGTATACTCCAGTATATGTCAGTATTATTAGTAGGAAAATACCAATTCTACACAAAATATTATGCCGTGATACCTTCAGGTTGTTTCTCTGGCTTGTGTTTCTTTGTAACTGGTTCTTCTGCTGGAGCCTTCAAACTTTCTTCTCTCTCAAGCTTTCTCTTCTTTGATGCTTCAACACGTTGTTTCTATGGCAGCTATATAGTAACCATATGGACAATTAAAGTGCTAGAGTACTTTTCTATTTTCTTCTTTCCTCTGCTGTCGTTCTTTCTCTTTCATGAAGTATTCACCGCTGGCCAGTTCCTTATCAACCTGGAATAAAAATGAAATACAGTACTATAAATATAATAGGTATTAGGAAATTAAATATCAATTTGGCAATGAAGTATTTGTGTTGATAATTATTCATGTTGTCAAATTTCCCATTATCATCTGATTATGAAATTAAAAAAAACAAATTACAAATTGCAAATTGCAAACCCTCACTAGCATTTTAAGAAGACCTAATGTGGGAAGTCTTTATCATATTACTATGTGATCAGTTATCAACCATTCCTATAGCTAACAGAGAGAGGCAGTTCTGTTTGATAGCTAACAAAGAAGAATGATAGTCCAGTTCCTAGCAACACAAATAGCCTCATGTATCAACCATTCTCATGCATAGCTAACAATAAACAGAGGCAGCACAGATAATCTAACAAAGAGAGACAGTTCCAAGCAACTCAGATAGCTTCACTGTGTCAACCATTTCTATAGCCAACAAAGAAGAAAGGCAGTTCCTAGCAGTTTGGTTGTATCAACTGATCCTTAGCTACGAGCCTACAAGAGGAGATCACAACACCGACAGTGTCAACTACTCTATAGTTGAAAGCTAGCATAAAAGACAAAGCTCAACCCTGCACTAAGAGAAGAACTGCCTATAATGAATATCAAAGATAAGAAAGCTTGGATAGTCCCTCTTGGAAGGGATCACCAGATGCTCAGTCCAAGATGATATAAATAGAGGCAGGCTGGAGTGATCCATTACAATAGAATATCTTGTCATTTATCAAATAATGCAAGTACTAGCTTTGACTGTTCTTTTAGTGGCTGCAACAATAAGTACAGCAGCAACTAATGAAAGTAAATATGAACAATGACATTATGATTATTTATGTAGTTTATGTAGGAGGATCACCTTCTCTAATTACTGAAGAAAAGGTTAATGATACTCTGGTAAGATCAGTATATCTTCAAATATTACGTGGTAGAGATGGTCGTGATGGAGTACCAGGAAGAGATGGAGTGAAAGGAGAGAGAGGAGATAAGGGAGAGAAAGGTGAAACTGGAGCAAGAGGAAAAACTGGTCCTAAAAGTGGAGGAGTAGTGTACACTCGTTGGGGAAGGAAGTCCTGTCCTACTGGAGCTCAACTACTGTATGAGGGAATAACTGGAGGTAGTCATTATTCTGAATCAGGAGGAGGAGCTAACTATGTCTGTCTACCAAAGGTTCCTCAATATATGAGTACAAATGTACCTCCTCATTCTTCCTACATGTATGGTTCTGAATATCAAGATGTTAATAGTATATTTCCAGGAAAGCATGATCACAATGTTCCTTGTGCAGTATGTTATACATCTACTAAGAGTGTTAAACTGATGATTCCTGCTAGAACCAGCTGTCCTTCATCATGGACTAGAGAGTATAAAGGATACCTGATGGCTGAGAAACATACTCATGCTAGGAATGCTGTCTATGAGTGTGTTGATGAGGCTCCAGAATCCATTGCTGGTAGTCACAGTAATGTTGATGTTGCTTTGTTCTATTTTGTACGAACAACCTGTTATGGTCTACCCTGTCCACCTTATAATGCTAACAGGGTCATTACTTGTGTTGTGTGTACCAAGTAATGAAGAACAATGAACAAGTGAATGAACACAAGTTTATGATTGTATAGGAAATTCTTTTGATAATGATAAAAATACAGTATTTTTGTGTGATAATGAAAAATCTAGTTAGCAAATGTCAAACACAAAAGTATATGCAGCCAACAGAACTCATAATAATATGGCTATATGTGTGTATTAATACTCTAAAAGTATGCCACAAAAGGTGAATAGTCTTACTAATATGTTATTCACATCCATTATAAAAATGATGGGATGAATCCCAACTGCTTTGTACTCCTACACAAAGTGTGGGTGAGTCCAACAGTGTGGGAAAGAGATTTTATAGTACAATATCAGTGTCCAAATAATGAAAGAAACTTAAATACAAAAAAGTAACTAAATCCTAATCTTAACAGCAAAGGTGCAAATTTCTGTAAATGCTATGAAAAATTTTTAGTGCAATATAATAGTGTAACCTGTCTTATTGTAACTTTGCAAATAATAAAGAAGGCTATAGCATCACTACTATTAAGACAATTGCTAAAAGAATCCCTCACAACAGATGCAGAACTTGAAATCATGAGGAAGGAAAAAGTTAGCTTTTAGTTCAACAAACACACACATCTGATGCATTTAATAACAAAGTGGGAAGGAGAATTACATATACACTAATCATATGACAATGATTGCAGAAAGCTATTTCCCAAAAAAACACATAGACTAATGTCTACATGCATAAAGCTATAAAAGAGAGCGAATGAGAAAAAGACACTGCAGTACCAAACTCTTCAATAAAGTGTAGCTAGTCAAAATGCAAGTACTAACAATGTTTGCTCTCCTAGTGGTGGCAGCCATCAGTGCATTAGGATCTACTCATTTTACTGGAGGTAAAGTATTTAATGTAACTTTGCTATGATTCATGATGTTATATGTGCAGGATCACCTTCTCTAATTACTGAAGAGAAGGTTAATGATACTCTGGTAAGATCAGTATATCTTCAAATATTACGTGGTAGAGATGGTCGTGATGGACTACCAGGAAGAGATGGAGTGAAAGGAGAGAGAGGAGATAAGGGAGAGAAAGGAGAGAAAGGTGAAATTGGAGCAAGAGGAGACACTGGTCCTAAAAGTGGAGGAGTAGTGTACACTCGTTGGGGAAGGAAGTCCTGTCCTACTGGAGTTGAACTACTGTATGAGGGAATAGCTGGAGGTAGTGACCATTTGCAATCAGGAGGAGGAGCTAACTACGTCTGTTTACCAAATGTTCCACAATATATGAGTACAAATGTACCTACTTATTATTCTCTAATGTATGGTTCTGAATATCAAGATGTTAATGGTATATTTCCAGGAAAGCATGATCACAATGTTCCTTGTGCAGTATGTTATACATCTACTAAGAGTGTTAAACTGATGATTCCTGCTAGAACCAGCTGTCCTTCATCATGGACTAGAGAATATAAAGGATACCTGATGGCTGAGAGACATACTCATGCTAGGAATGCTGTCTATGAGTGTGTTGATGAGGCTCCAGAATCCATTGCTGGTAGTCACACTAATGTCAATGGTGCTTTGTTCTATTTCACAATAACAACCTGTACTGGTCTACCCTGTCCACCTTATGTTGCTAGCAGGGTCATAACTTGTGTTGTGTGTACCAAGTAATAAAAAGAACAATGAATTATGAACACAAAAGTGATTGTATAGAAAACTCTTTTGATAATGATAAAATTTCATTATTTTGTGTGATAATGACAAATGTATCTAGTTATGAAATGCACAGAAGTATATGCAGCCCACAGAACTCGTGATAAATATGGCCAATAAAAAGTATGCCACAAGAGGCTAATTAATTAGTCTTACTAATATTTCAGTCATGTCTACTATGAAAATACTTTAGTAATGACTGGATGAAGTCCAAAGGCTTTGTACTCCTACACAAAGTGTGGGTGAGTCTAACAAACATACAATACACCAGTGTCCAAATGATGATAAGAACTTAAATACAAAAAGTGACTAAATCTTAGTATTATAACAGCAAAGGCACAAATTTCTGTAAAATGCTACTATTTTTTTATAGTAGTAGATATAACCTGTCAAAAAGGGAAAGTAGAGGTAATAATTATTTTCTCTTTATTGTATGCATAGTATAGCCTGGCTGCAAGTCTGCATGAAATAAAGAAGGCTATAGCATCATTACCATTAAGACAATTACTAAAAGAATCCCTCACAGTCACAGATGTAGAAAACCACAAGGAGGAGGCAAGATAATTAGTGTTAGTTTTTAGTTTCATTAACACACACATCCCATGCACTTAATAACAAGTGGGAAGGAGAATTAGATACAGTAATATGATAGAGATGATAAGAGTGATGGAAAACTATTTCCCAAAAAAAGTCTGCACAGACACATATCCCAAAGGATTTTATAACAAAGTGGGAAAGAGAATTACATGTAATATAGAGATGATGAGAATGATTGCAGAAAACTATTTCCCAAAAGAACACACAGATTAATGTCTACATGCATATAATGCTATAAAAGAGTGAGAAACAGAAAAGACACTGCAGTATCAAACTCTTCAATAAAGTGCAGCTTGTTAAAATGCAAGTGCTAACAATGCTTGCTCTCCTAGTGGTGGCAGCTATCAGTGCATTAGGATCTGCTCGTTCTACTGGAGGTAAAATATTTTAAGCTACTTTGCTATGATTCATGACGTCATATGTGCAGGATCACCTTCTCTAATTACTGAAGAGAAGGTTAATGATACTCTGGTTAGATCAGTATATCTTCAAATATTACGTGGTAGAGATGGTCGTGATGGACTACCAGGAAGAGATGGAGTGAAAGGAGAGAGAGGAGATAGGGGAGAGAAAGGTGAAACTGGAGCAAGAGGAGACACTGGTCCTAAAAGTGGAGGAGTAGTGTACACTCGTTGGGGAAGGAAGTCCTGTCCTACTGGAGTTGAACTACTGTATGAAGGAATAGCTGGAGGTAGTTACTGGAATCAACCATGCAGGAGGAGGAGCTAACTATGTCTGTCTACCAAAGGTTCCTCAATATATGAGTACATATGTACCTCCTGCACATTCTTACATGCATGGTTCTGAATATCAAGATGTTAATGGTATATTTCCAGGAAAATATGATCACAATGTTCCTTGTGCAGAATGTTATACATCTACTAAGAGTGTTAAACTGATATTCCTGCTAGAACAAGC